ATGAAATTGTCCCAAATGTCTTTGGTATGCTGACGCCTTAAGAGTTCCCTTTACTGGAACTAGGGGGCCAAGCCCAACCCCTGAAAAACAACCCCACGCCATAATCCCCCCTCCACCAAACTTTACACTTGGCAAAATGCAGTCAGGCAAGTACTGTTCTCCTGGCAACCGCCAAACCCAGACATGTCTATCGAATTGCCAGACAGAGCAGCGTGATTAGTCACTCCAGAGAACACGTCTCCCCTGCTCTAGAGTCCAGTGGTGGCGTGCTTTACACCACGGCATCCAACGCTTTGCATTGCACTTGATGATCTAAGGCTTGGATGCAGCTGCTCGGCCATGAAAACCCATTCCATGAAGCTCTCTACACACTGTTGTTGTGCTCATCTGAAGGCCACACCAAGTTTGGAGGTCTTTAGCTATCGACACTGCAACCTATCACTGTACCACACTTTAAGTCACTGAGCTCCTGAGAGCGACCCATTCTTTCACAAATGTTTATAGAAGCAGTCTGCATGCCCTAAGTGCTTGATTTTTATACATCTGTGGCCATGGAGGTGACTGACCCCTGAATCCAATGTTTTGGAGGGGTGCCCCTTTACTTTTGGCAATATAGTGTATCTTTAGGTAACCTTGGGATTATTGTTTTTTCCTGATTTATGTGTGACATATTGAATGGCTTAGTAAATACTTTTTATTGTACAACATGGGACACAGAGCATCTTCATATAACTGTAGGGCTCTATTCCACCTTCGGGTGATTGGACACTGGCAAAAAAAAAAAAAAAAACAGGAACTCCTCCCTCCCAGGTATAATCCCTCCCCATTAGGCAAGGCTTTTTGATTTTTATGGGTTTTTATTTATTTTTTTGCTAGTGTCTTAGGTGATGGTCATATCTTTACAGCTCTCTACATGAAAATAGCTGACTTCTCATATGGGCTTAGGAGATTGGCTTTGTCAAGATCCATGACCTACAGCTTTTCAATGCTCAGAGAAATGGTACCCAAACTGGACACATGGGGATGTCCTGTAATGTTGAATGGTCGATGCTGGACCCTGTTCAATGACATATTGCCTTGTGGACCGATAGGGTGCTAAACTAAGTTCTAGGGCAGTGATCCACAATTTGGGAGAAGAGTCCCTGAAGGCTCTTTTTTTGGCAGCCTGCCATAATAAGTGAAGAGGTGGTCCTGCAGCAGGAATGGTGGGTGCCCCAGGATAGCCCCTATGCTGGTACATGTTCTCTATCTAGTGCTACCCACCCCACTCCCCAGGTGAAAGGCATTGAGTAGTTTGTTTAGGTCACAGGACCTTTAATTTACACTGGCGTTAAACCGCTGGTGATCTTTTTACTGTGTTTTGTTCACAAGGAGCTCCTAGACTGTTCTGAGCGCTCCGTAGCATAGGAGGAGCTTAGCGGTGGTTTTCTGTAGCTCAGGGAGCCTCCTTTCCACCCCCGGATTTCCCTGCGCTGGCTGAGCCCCGCATGAGGGCGAGGCTTGGCCATAAATGATTTAACGGATGGGCGTAGTCCTGGCAGTGGCCATCAGATGCTACATGAGCCTGGGCCCACTGAAGAGGGCAGAGGAGATACTTCTGTGGGACTACAGGACACAGCAACTCCTGACAGCGTTGGACTACAGGTTGCATCAGATCTTCACCGTATTGGATTACAGGTCATAGCGTTATCTTGTGACTACTAATTATAACAAGTGTACTAACAACTATTGATGGGGCATTGGCCGAATAACAAGATTCCTCTGATGAAAAAGAGTACCAGCTTGCCAGTGGTCTTGTGATTCAGTGCCTGTTAGCTGACTTGGACCACTATTTTACTTGCAAGGATCTCTGTAATTCTTTAGTGTGCCATGTCTTGCAGATGACACCGTGGAAGGGATGTAGGCGGTGCAAGATGCCTAATACTATTAATAGGGAGGAATCTGAACTTAGCCCTCCGTATAACCACTCCCCTGGTGGTCAGTTTCTTCCAAGCGGCTCTAACTCCAACTATCTGGCATCTCCGCTACCTCTGGGGGTACCTTATTCCAGGTCATTTGTGACCAGAAAGATTTTTCATCTATCGCCAGGGTACAGGAGTAGCTTTTTGGAACACTTGCAGGTTTGGACCACCTGAGTCACAAAAATAAACATTTTCCCTCTCCTCATTAACGAAAGGAGGAAACAGTGGAAGATGAAAATTTTTAAGTAGAAAGAGACACAGAAGAATCCTCCTTCCAGGAATCTACTACTGAAGAACACCAGGGTCAGTTTTTCTCAGATACAACAGCTTTTTGTGCGTTTTCTCACCGAAGTTGTCGGAACTAGTTTAAGATTCCCACATCCGGAGTTGTCTTCATCAACGGTTTTAAAATTTCAAACATTATGGCCATCACAAGATCCTCAATCTTTTCCTATACATTCTCATTTAGGGCTGATTCACACCAGATGCAGTCAAGTGCACTTTTTTTTTCTGCATCAAAAATGCTTGCACAGTGGTTTCAGTGTATTCCAAAGGTCCTTGTTCACACCAGTGCAGTCATTTCCAGTCAGTTTCTGGTGCAGAAAACAAAATATTTTTTTCTGCACAGAACTATACTGGCACACAGCAAAATGCATCAAAAACACACCAGAATGGAGTGTGGTGTGAACTGTAAGCAAAAACGCATCTGGAGTTCGGTTTTGTGATGTCAACTGACCTTTAAAGGATGTTTTTGCACATTGACTGGGCTCATCCTGTCAAGGTGTTCGTGCCATAAAGGTTTGCTTGCTCAGCAATATCCTATGGAGAGCGTGTTCACTAAGAAATGGAGTATGCCTGCGGTGGATCCAGCAGTTTCCTATCGCAGGAAAGTTGAAGATGTTCCAGTGTTTAAAGGTGCCTCGGACAAACGTCTGGAAATATTCTTAAGTCTCATTTGCCCTGTTGGAGACAGCTTTACATCTAGCGATTATGGCTGTAGTGATCTGCCAAAACCTCAAGGTCTGTTCTCGTCACATGACAAGATGGGGGCAGTGGGGTCCTCTAGGGGAGATGCAGAAACCTGAAAGATTTCCCATGTGCCCCTCAGCTTCTGAGTGGATGCCTTGGTGGATTCCTCTGTTCTGGGAGAGCGTGATAACAGATGCCAGCCTGAATGGGAGGAGTTCTGGAGCATTTTCCAGTCCAGGGGACTTCTCTACTGTGGAGCTGGTTGCCCATCAATATTTTGGAACTGAGGGCAATTTTCTGTGAGGGTTCAGTCAACGCCATGGTGGTGGTATATACAAGAAGCAGGGCGGCCCAGGAGAATGTATACCTCATACTGACTTGGAGGAAATTGGCAGAACTTCACGTTCCCGCTCAGTCCACAGTCCTAGAATATTGGCAGGTGGAGTTTTTTCTATGCTGTCAACATTCTTCACCCAGGGGTGTCTGAGGAGATCTAAGTACGATGGGGAACTGTGGATGTGAATCTTAAGACGTCCAGGTTCAATGCAAAGTTGGACAAGTTTGTCTCCAGCCCAGGGGATCCTCAAGTGCTTGCAGTTTATGCTGTGATGACACACTGGAAGCAGTTCTCCATAATTTGTTCTTCCGCTATTGCAGCTTCTACCTCGTCTGCTTCACAGGATTTGAGTGGAAGGAATTACAATTATTCTGATCACCCTGGCCTGGCCCTTGAGAACTTGGCACTCTGACATTATAAAGTGTCGATGGATGAACCCTGGGCTAATCCAGACTGACCTGACATGCTGTTGCAAGGTCTGATCGTCCATCATTCTTCAGTCTCTGGCTTTAATGGTATGGCTGTTGAAGCCAGGGTGCTAAGGGAAAAAGGTGTCACTGATTTGGTCATTCCTTCCATGCTAAAAGTTAGGAATGCAACTTAGATTTACAAAAGGACTTGAAAGTCTTGTCTTCTTTTGGTTTGAGGCCTTCTGGCCTTTCTCCAGTCTGGATCGGATCAGGGACTGGCGCTGAGTACGATCGCTTTCCTGCAAAGGACTGTCCTGGTTCTCCACCCTGATAGTTTTATGGCTTCTGCGTACTTTTTTTTTTTTCTTAAGGTGGTTTCTTCTTTCCATCTCAACTAGGACATGGTGTTACCGTCTTCCATGGGAGAAGGCTCTTCACACCTGAGTAGTTGACTGCTACTGCTAAGAACTCTAGGGTGAAAAAGTGGTGATAGTTACCTCCTTTTGTGAGGCAAGAAAGTACAGTGATAAATGTCAGGTAAATGACTTGCTTTCAGTTTACACAAAAAAAAAAAATCAAACACTTGGGAATAGTGTACATTTATGTGATTTATTCACCTTCGTATTGAGGCATCAAAGCAGATCTTAAAATGGCTTTAACCAATATCATAGGCCCACGTACATTAGCCCTCAAGATACCAACATCTGTGTGGGGTTTTTCGTTTATTTTTTTGAAAGCTGAACTCTGAGCACAAAAACTTTAAATATATTTCTCAATAGCCACAAAGCGTGTAAAACCACTTAGTTTGCACTAAATTCCAGATATTCTATAAAACAGTGGCATCATTACTGTGCTGCACATCTAGCCTGTGTAGATAGAAGAGCTGTGGGAAGCGCCTAATAGGCCCACCAACTACATGCTGCCTGCAGAAAACTACAGAAGGGGGTCAGAACAAGACCTCTCACCCTGCACAAGGAAAGTGGAGGGATTGGTAGAGACCGGTCTGTACTACATGAACCTCAACACTGGATTACTTCACAGATCTGGACTACATAAACACACCAACATTCAAGCAAGAATACTTATCCCTTTTACCATGGAGTTCAGCTTTAAGTGTGGTAAATTCTTTATGAATTGAAGCATGCTAAAATACACAAATGATATGTCTTAGTTTATAGTGAATAGAAGCCATAGTGTCTCTTTGTTTATTTCTCCTCAGTGGTTAAAGTTCCAATAATTAATCATCTGGAAGCTCTACGTGATGAAGAACTTGAGGAGCGAAGGGAGAAAAGGAGAAAACAACTGGCAGAAGAGGAGGCCAAAATGGCTGAAAAAGCTAAAGAGGAGAAGGATTCAAAGGAGCAAAATGTGCAGGTCTCTGCGCTTTTTTTTTTTTTCTTACCTTAAAGGAAACCTGTAATTGGAGAAATGAGGTTGCCCTTTTTGAGCTTTACTTCTAAAATGGCACTTTCCTGGCTGTCATACAGACCTGTGTTACTGACTGAGAAAAAGTATGCAGAATAGAAGATCTGATTTCAGCGATTGAAAGCTTGTTTGCAATCACTGAAAGTATTGATGCAAGACAGTCCAGAAGCTAAGCATTTTCCAGAGACGGCATTAGCAGTCCCCATATTTTCTGTAATTACAGGTTTCCCTATGTACATGGATGCAAACTTGGCTCACAAAAGCATTTGTTACTAGATTATAAAACGTTTTATAATGTACATCCTGTAAAGAAAAGGTTTAAAACTCAGCTGTCATACCATCAATCTTCACCTCCCTGGAAGAGCGAAGCTTGCTGAAGGAACTTGAGCATCCACCTGTGTCCTTAAGTGATGAAGAGGTTGGTAGAATAAAGCAGAGAGCACAGGAGGACTGGCATTTCTATAAAGCAGTGTTAAACCCAAGAACAAAAATGTAATAAATTGTGGCCAATTCTTAGATCTGTTGACTGCATTAGTTTTCTCTTTTTCAGGCTTTTCCTTTATCATAACCTGGTTATCCAGCCAGTAAGTCTGTCATTTTTCAACTTCTTTAGCAGACCAAGCTGTTCAGACAAAGTAGCATTTAGCAGGTTGATAAAATATTTAACTCATGGTTGCTTACAGTGGTCCGCTTTTTTTTTTTTTTTTTTAATGTAAAACCATTATCCCAAAATGAGAAAATGTTTGCTGTAACTGCTTTTAAAGTGTTAGCTGGAGGTCAGCTTCAGTTTCTTAGTCATCTAATGCAGGCCATACATGGTTCGAATTCCGAACGATTTTTGTACGAAAATCGGACCTAAGAATAATTGGCTGATTTTTGCTCTTTTAGTGGGGCAATGGCATCAGGCGATTTTCGTGATTCCTCCCCATTTCGTTTATCAGGCATGCTGGAAAATTCATAAAAAAACAACCGATATTCGAAATCATTGGTGGCACCATCGGATTACAGAACGAACAACGTTTCGATTTTTGGATTAAAAACCGTTTGGAATTTGAACCATGTATGGCCTGCATAAATCTGTTAGTCTAACACTACTCCCTTACCAGACTGACAATGCTGCTGTGTCTGCTTTATTAATTCATCCAGAATGCAGATACACTAACACGGGAAATGTTTGCCTGGCTGGATCACCAGGTGAAATAAAGGGGGGAAAAAAGAAAACTATTGTAGCCAGCACATCTAAGGAATACCATTTTTCTAAGTTGGTTACTGAAGATTCTTTTGCAAGCTCATTTCTTCTGTAGTTAGGTGGCAAGATAAGTAGGTGTTAAACATGTTTTTTTTCAGACACTGGGCAGTCCTAGGAGATCCCCCCCTCCTCCAGCACACAGCAGGTAATTGACAGCCCTAGCTGTGCATGTTTTCCTTTGAGACTGTAGAGGGGATGTGCTCTTTCCCTCCACTTAGGTCTCAGATTACACTCAGCTCTGTGCTGTGCCACTGCCTTCTGGAAGCTGAGAAATACTATCTAAACTGTATATTTTCAAAAGCATTTATTATCACTTTAAGACCAAGGGGAGGTTTAAAATCTCTGCTTTTTGTTCATGGTGATGCTGTTGAAAATGTCTGTTTAATTCTTCTTTTTTTGTTGTTTTTTTTATTTGTGCAGGCTGCCAATGCTAAGAGGAATGCCTCCTTTGAGCTGAGTCTTGCAGGTATTTCATATACGAGGTGTTATGTGTCTAGTTTTTTTTTTTTTTTTTTACAGCGTGCATATGAAGGCTCCTGGATGTTTCAGGTTGAGGTAGTAGATTGTATAGTTTTGGGGTCACACCCGATCTGGGAGATAACTATACAGTTTACTGTCTTTCCTGCAGCATCTCATTGCATCAGTCCTGTGGATTACAAATGACAAGTGTCTATGATGTGAAATGTGATGCCTGTATTGTAACCTGAACCAAGTCAGGGGGGATTGGGTGAATTGCATAAAAGTATTCATGTGCTTCCTTCAGGGTGAGGGTAGTAAGTTGTATTGTTTTAAGGGGCAGGGATTTTTTGCTCCTATTTGGTGATAACTATACAGCTTACTGCCTTCCCAGAGGTGGAGTATTCTACATTGAGTACATGTGAGTATTCTACATTGAGTACATGTGAGTATTCTACATTGAGTACATGTGAGTATTCTACATTGAGTACATGTGAGTATTCTACATTGAGTACATGTGAGTATTCTACATTGAGTACATGTGAGTATTCTACATTGAGTACATGTGAGTATTCTACATTGAGTACATGTGAGTATTCTACATTGAGTACATATGACATATCAATTTGAAATAAACTACTTTGTTTAGCTCTTGCAATAGCAGTGTGATTATTCTGATTAATTTGAATTCTTTTAAAAGAACTGACAGCTCAGAGGAGCCCCTGTACAAACGATCCGATGTTAGTACAACGATCTCCACTGCTGTGCTATTGTGTTCTGACAGAGGAGGCCCACCCCCCCCCCCCGCATCAGAACACTCCAGTCAGCGCTACCAGCCATTGGCTAAGGGTGCTGATCGGGAGCTGATCGGCAGACCTTTTTCCATTCATGCCCCTTCTGTCAGACCGGCTACCATAGATACAGGCCGAATGTCGGCCAGTTTCTGTAAAAGCGGCTGATGCCGCCCAACATTGGGCCAGTGTGTATTAGGCTTTATTCTGAGTGTTAAGCTTGGCATGTTTCTAAAAATGTTATCTTTTGCTTGCTTATATAATTAGACATTTGTCTGAAGTTCAGCTTTAGCTCAGACCCTCTGTCAGTTCTTGATGGAAAATCTTATTCATCAATTAATTCTTGCATTCCTTTTGTGTTTTATTTGATCACTGACCTTGTCATTGATTAACTGTGGCTGTGTGAAAATCATAAAAGGCACGATTTCTGTTTGTAACGGTTTCATTGTACTACTGGCTATGTACAGCCTCGTTTTCATTCAAGATGCAGCTGGTTCTAATAAAACATGAAATGTAGATAGTTTAAACTGTACAAAAATCATGGTTTATGGGCTGGATCTTGATTGCTAAAAGATTTGCTGTCTGTAGAGAGAAGCAATGTACACTGCATGCATGGTGTTGTTGAGTGGTTGGAATATTACCTGCAATATTTTCAACAATAAAACCCTGCACAAGAGCAACCAGCCAGCAAAGCACTGCCATTTGCATGTGATGGTCAAAACCAAAGGAAAGAATGACAGCAATTTCTCGTAGCTTCCAACTGGATGACCCTGCACCTGTAGTGCAACCCAATATTCCTTTCTACCCCCATGTGCCAAGTCTGGCTCAGGTAGGCAGGAGGTTATGTGCTTGGGTGTGTAACTTTAATTTTTTACAATCAATTTACTTCTTTTTTTTTTTTTTTTTTTTTTTTTTTACTTCATCACATAGGGGACAAAAAAGCCCCCTAAGTAATGATTTTTGTTGACAGGTTCTCTTTGAGACATCCATTTAGACCCTGCTTGTCTCCCCTGTACTCCACGGGATGTAATGCAGTGTGCATCGCACTGCACTACATTCTTTCCTGGCCCCGATAGCCAGGAGATCTGTCAACGGGGACCTGGAAGTGGAGATCTGTCAACGGGGACCTGGAAGTGACGTCATAACATCACTTCCGAGTCAGGACAAGAAGAGGAGGGGAACGGGTGTGTCCGCTCTCCTCCATTACCTCTACATGCTGGCACCCGCTGAACTGGTCCTGGGCCCACAATGGGCAAGTGGAGCCCGGGAGACATAGGCAAAAATGGAGGCATGCGTGGTGGCAGACAAAGCTGCCACTGTGGGCTGTGTGGAGGTAATCGGCGGCAGCGCCGCCTAAATGCTTCCACCTGACAGCTGAGCTCTGCTGCTTGCCCACAGCAGGGCTAATGGCTTAAAAAAAAAAAAACCCTACCTACCTAGTGCCCAGGACTACATGTCCCGGGCATCGAGTGATACAAATTGAACATCCCTGGGTAGGGCCTTGCTGTCTTTTTGTTTTTGAATTTGTCTGGCCCCTGAGGTTTCCCAGCATCTGTCTATTTTTTCTTCAATGTCTAATGGAGGCCAAAGTTGTAGATAATTTGGAGGCAGTGAGTGAAATCACTGTGCCCTACCTGCTAAAACTTGCTTCCGGAGATGGTCAACATGATCTGAATGTTTGCCTAATTTCAATTGTTTGTCCTATCTCAGCAAAGAGAATTAGGTCTAGTTACAGCCATTGTGATCCCATTTTCAATTTTCAGTGGGTTTCCCATTTACCTTTTTATTTACTGCAGATAGCAGTTATGTTGAATTAAAAAAAAAAAGAAAAAAAAAAAAACTAGGTAGTTGCCTGTCCTTAAAATCATTAAGGCTTCCCGTAGATTTTCTTTCCTTTAGAACTGCCTAGACTACAGCATCCTACAAGATCTTGAGCATAGCAGAGACCACTCCTGCTGCTGCCAGTCATTTCTGAGAAGTGAGAGGGGCCAAGGCTTTACCGGTGCTGTGTGTGTCTATTGATGCACACAGCCCAGCTTGGGAGCACATCCGCAGGGGTGCCCCCCTAATATATGGCTTGCTGAGGGTGTAACCATAGGAAGGTGCAGAGAGCGCTGATGAGGGACTTCCGGAGGAGGAGATAAGGGACCTCTCTGTGCAGTACCATTGCACAAAGCAGGTAAGTATAACATTTTTTTTTTTTTTTAATTAAAAAAGAGCCTTTACAATCACTCTACCAATTTTATATATTGCATATCAAACTTACATGTTGCAACCATAGAAATCTGCAACTCTTTCAGTAGTTAAGGCTTTGGTGAACTCCAATAATGCAATCTCAAAAGAAGAAAAAAAACTGATTCTATGCTGTTAATTTAAAAAGCATATCCATTTTATAAAGGTCATTGTTACTCTCTGGACGTTTAATCCCCTGAATTTTCCTTTATAACATCACTGCTGATAAATGTAGTTTATAGTCTGTGTGTTCGTTACTTACTTCCTGCCTGGTGTAAACCTAATTTACAGCTTTGAGATACTTTGTTTTACTGTTTTTTTATGTGCAGCTTTTTCTTTTTCTTTTTTAATTGCCATGCTGATAACTAAGACATCATGCACTTGCATTAACTTATGGATTTAAAAAAAACACTTTATTCAGGGTTTATCTTATCTTTGTCACAATGGTCTTTACTTGAAAAGTAAAATGTGTGTCTGCATAGTTTTGCATACCCCAAGCAAGGTTTTTAAACGGTTAACTAAATATGCATAACAGCCTCAATCTTATAGGTGCAAATCCATGTATGTTTGTCTTACTGGTACTTTATTTTATCCAAGACCAAGATGGTAGCAATCGTCCTGAGAACTTCCCAACTGCCCCTTCTTCTGCAGAAGGGACCCCAACAAGCCCAGAACTCGTTCCTTTGGACACTTCTCTGCGTGCTCATCCTCCTGAATCTGCTTTGGCAGATCTCACTCAAAGTCTGCACACAGAAACCGGACCAGAGGATACTGGGCAGCTACTAATGCCAACTGAACCTGAGGATTCTGGACCAGGAAGACCAAGCGCAGAGGGGGAAGCCACTCAAATGGAGCTGTCACCTGCACCAACAATAAGTTAGTCTACTTCTCTTTTTCTGCTTATTTAAATGCCAAGGTAAGATGATTGATTTTTGTTTTTTCTTCCCTTTTACTAGCCTCTTTGTCCCCTGAGCGAGCAGAAGATTCGGATGCTCTTACGGCTGTTAGCAGTCAGCTGGAAGGCTCCCCTATGGATACCAGCAGCCTTGCATCGGGTCCTTTGGAAGAGGGAGTTGGAGAGGCCTCTGGAGTTGTAAATCCAGAACAGCCTCTTGTAGTCACCAGTAGTATTGCAGTTGGCCAGCAGCCTGTAGAACCTCCGACTTCAAATGAGAGTCAGGCTGCTGTATCTCAGCTCAGCGATGAGAGGTAAGAAGTAAAAGTATACTTGCAGAAATATAAATGCTAAAATGGACCGTGATTTTGGGATGGGTGACCTCATCACAACGTTTAGGTGGTTGTATATAAAGGTAGGGAATCACTCTGGTAGCATGTCAAAGTTTTTAGGTTATTTTTTTGAAAAGGATAACAAAGCAAAAAATCTAAAATGTTTTATGTTGCAGCTTACCAGTCCTTAGATATGTTGGTCGTGTTCAGTTTCTTTATTTAGGCCAAGAACATTTTCAGAACGTACAGAAAAATACCTGTTGGTCATGCCAGAGCTGCAGAGTCATTGTCACTTGTGATCTTAACCGCACAGACAGCCTTGCCTATCATTAATCAGTCCAGTTGTAGTAAAGATGAACTAGGGCAACAATGATTGAAGTGTTAATTATATCTACCTCTTAAGGTACATTGGAGGAGTGAATGCTGCCACCAAGAACCAAGTGTGTTATTTACAATATTATTAGGTTAAAAAAAGAAGATAAAAGCATCTGGATACAATTTCAGTATGCCTGAATGAGTTTTTCCGCCTTATTAATGCATGGTAGTTATGTCATACTGAGCCAATCAGTCACAATGGTGGAAGGCAGAGAGACTTGAAGACTGGGCAGAGATGTTGGTGCCACTGAGGGAGTTCTTGGACACCACATTGCTGGAAACAAATTTAATACCACTTTAACTTTCTTCCTGTGTTTGGAATATAAATAACCAGAGCTCGACACTTTTATTTCATTTATTTATTTTTTTTATGTCAACACACATCACATGTCTGCAGCAGCTCATTATCTGGCACTTTATTCAGCACATTGACAGCGCACAATTTTTCTTAGTTTATCACTTTGATTAAGTGGACCTGATCTCCTATGGTTTGTCCCTTTCCTTCCATGGTGCCATGAAACCAGGGGTGGAGCTTCCCCCTTAACAAGGCTGACTTGGTTGCCTGCTCTGTGTACCATGGTGTAGTTTCAGCCTATGGCAGCCATGGACCTGGTGTCTCCGATATTTACTGCATGGGCCAAGCTACCATTATCCGGGTTGAATACCAGACATGTTGATCTGGTGGCTCTACCAGACCAGTTTTAGCCCAGGGCCAAAAATGCCTAAATGGCACATCCATTGATACTACTTCTCTCCTCTCCAAGCTCTCCGTTTCGCAGTGGTGCTTTGGTGAGTGCTTTGGTCCGGGTGTTTGTTGGCAAAGCTCCTGTGCAGCCTGGACATCCCTGCCCTTCCAGAGGGATATTCACTGTGGAACTGCCTTGGTGGTTATTTGCCCTCTCGTGGCTGGGGACGGCGTTGCTAGTCCTGGTTTTTCCTTTTTGGCCACAACATTGAATTTCCTCTTATTTTTCTTTTTTTCCCTTTTTCTTTTTCTCCTTTACTTTTTTCTTTTTCTCTTGTGGCTGTGGTCTCCGGCTCCAAGGAACAAAAAGTTCTTTCTTTCCCCTTCCATGGACTGCAATCATGACAAATACTAGCCTGTTGGGCTGCGGAGGAGTCTGGGAGCAGACTCCGGTCACTGGACTCCGGAGGAGGCTCGGCTACCCATCAATTACCTTGAACTTTGAGCAATCAAGGGAGCATGAGCAGTGCAGCAGTGGCACTGGAGGCGTCCCACATCCTGAGATTGGCAGAAAGGTTAGTTCGGCTCTGTCCGCCATGCAAATTCTAGAGGTTGAAAACTGGCTAGCAGGTTATCTCAGCCATCAGACACAGGATCAGGGTGTGTGGTCCCTGCACCAGGAGGTGTTCCATCAGCTCTGCGTTCGCTGGAGGACGCCAGATGTGGTTCTGCTGGCGGCCCCCCTCCGCTGTAAGATTTCAAGGTTCATGGAAAGATCGTTGGATTCTCTGGCAAACACAGTAAATGCTCTAATGGTTCTGTGGGATCAGCACGATCTATGCCTTTCTACCCCGGTCTTCCTGGTGACTCCAGACTGGCCTCAGTGCTGGTAGTTTGCTGACGTGCTGCACTTGGTGGCAGATGCTCCCTGGTGGCTGCCTCGGTTTGGAGGATCTTCTATTTCATGGGCCGTGTTCCACCATAAGTCTTACTGTTGCTGGCCTGACAGTGTAGTTGACAGCCAGGTTCTGAGGGACAGAGGGTTATCTGGCTTGGTGTTTCCAACTATGTTGCAGGCTTGTAGGTCTTACCTCCCAGGAGTTCTCACACTGGAAAGATGCTATAGCTTGGTGCGAAGCCTTGGGGTTCCATCCTTGCTCTTTCTCAGTGGCACAGGTGTTTCACCAACATGGTGTAGATCAGAAGCTTGTTTTGAGCACTACCAAGGGTCCAGTCTCTCCTCTGGCTGTTTTCTTTTAGAGCCCTTTCGCCATGCTTTCCTTTTAGTTCACATTTTCATCAGGAGGTTCATCATGTGGTGCCCCCTGTCCACTCCCTGTTGCCACCGTGGGAAATGACTTTGGTGATGTTGGTTTCTCGAAAACCTTCCTTGGAGAGCATCCAGATGTTCCCTTATTTTCTCTTTTGTATATATTTGCCTCACTAGTTGCTATTACTTTGGCTTGGTGGATGTTTCAGTGGCGGCTTTGTCCTGTAAGCCACCTTCTCTGGTTTTATTCAAAGGCAAAGCGGCGCTTCGACCTTCCGATCCTTTCTTCCATAGGTGGTGTTGGCTTTTTACTTGAATGAGGACATTGTCTTCCTTCTCTGTATTCTCAGCTGTCCCCCCCCCCCCCCCCCCCCCCCCCCAAGGTGGTGGCTCTGTACTCCTTGGACGTAGTTCGTGTGATTGTAGTTACATTTTCTGTGGCGGACGCTTTTTGGAGGTCCAGTTCTATTTGTATGGCTTGGTGGCCTCTTCTGCCATTATTTCCCATTGATTTTGGCAAATTACTGTGCAGGTGTCTGCCATTCAGGGGCGGGAACTCCCTTCCGTGTTATGGCGCACTCCACCAAGACGGCCAGTGCTTCCTGAGTATTCCAACATCAACATTTGTTAAGTTTGCAAGCAGCGACCTGGTTGTCTGTGCACACATCTCTACTGGGTTATATAAAGTGGATATGTTGACGTTTAGTTTGGAGGAACTGTTTTGCAGGTGGCTTTTTAGGGACCCTCAGGCTTCCCTTGGAGTGTTGGCATGTTGCCTGGTGTTTTTTCTCGATTAGTTGGTTTACCCACCCTTCGTTGTGGCACTGTTTGGGGACATCCCTTTTTGGTTATGGATAAAAGGCTGTGTCCGTCAATGAATGTAAGAAAAACTGGAATTTTTTTTATTTTTTTGTTACTCACCATAAAATACCTTTTCTCTGAGTTAATTAACAGGCACAGCACCCATCCCTCTATGGAGTTTTCTCCTTTTGACACTGCTTGTGACTGACTGGAGGACTATAGCAGAGAAGGGGGCTTTATGCCCAGAGAGGACTGCCCAAAGGGGGTGCAGTTTTTTTTTTTTTGTTTTTTTTTTTTTCCCTGCCTAGTGTCCTACTCCTGTAGGGGGGGGGGGCTATAAAGCCCTGTTTGGTTATGGATAAATAGGCTTTGTCAGTCCGTGAACTCGGAGAAAGGAATTTTACAGTGAGCAACAAAATCCAGTTTTGTTTTTTTTTTCTCTGCTAGCAGGCTCTTTGAAGGGATAAAACAAGCGGTGATGTGCATGTATTGCAGAGATTTACTTCATGTGTTTTTTGCCTTGACATACACTTTAACTTATTTTTTTGACTAGTTTGTCCTTGTGAGAATGCTGTTGTATGTCCCGCCTGAATGTTTAGCTGTTCCTTTATCTTTCAGCTCCACGGTAGCTCCATCTAATGAGTTGCCTCCTATCAGAGACCCTGCGGTAGCCTTGTTAACAAGTGATTCGGGCGGTATCCTGGAAGAACCTCTGCCATCTACGAGTAGTGAAGAAGAGGATCCTTTGGCTGGTTGGATATTGTTTTGTTCTTTTAAGCTTTTGTTCAGTTTTGTAACCCAACATGAAAAGTAACTGTCTTTAGGTAAAATACATTGTTTAATAATAATCCCACTTTTATAGGTATAAATCTACCCGAGGGAGTGGATCCATCCTTCCTTGCAGCTCTTCCAGAAGACATTCGCAGAGAGGTTCTTCAGAATCAACTGGGTATCAGGCCTCCAGCTCGGGCACCTCCTACTGCTGTTCCAGTCATTCCTCCACCTGTTGTAGGAAGCGCCGGTGTCACTGAGGTCAGCCCTGAATTCCTGGCTGCATTACCTCCAGCCATTCAGGAAGAGGTATATTAAGACTTAACTAAATCTGTGATTGCCTTCTCTCTCATTTATTGAGGGACACTGGAAATTTTTCATACTGCCTCCTACAGGAAAATTGGACACTGGCATTTATAAAAAATAACAGGCCAACCCAAGAGGAGTGAGGAGGAACATCTACTGCTATCAGCATGTCTTAGTGTGGGTTTTTTTTTTTTTTGTTTTGTTTTGTTTTTTAACTAGTGCCTTTAGAGGATGGATGTCTTTTCTTCAGCTGTGCTGCGCAAAAGACAAACCTAAGTTTGCTAGCACCAGTCTTGCTTATCATTTTTCTCTTAAACTGGTAGTAAAGTCCCCTTAGTGTTTTTTACATACAGGAAAGCCTATAATAAAGCTTACTTGTAGGCAAAATGAATATCTCCTAAACGTGTACCATTTAGGAGATATTTGCTCTTTCGGTAGCTGGTGATTTCACTGGCGCAAGTTCAAAGTGCTGAGCACTGATGTCATCTACTGGGTCACGTCATGTGTGCACGCATGCTCCATGCCCTTTTATTCCTCCATTTTGCTCCTGATTTGCTAAAAGCAACAAAAAACTTCAGTCTTTGATCTGCTCCTGTTTTCCTGCCTACAGTGACTTTAGTCACCTCTGGCTTTCCAGCCCTCACCTGCTACCAGTTTTCTGGGTTTCATTTGTACCTGAGGCCTGTCCTCATACACTGAACCTTACATTGTGAGTGCACCAGTTGGGCCAAGCTACCTGCAGTACATAAGTTGCTAGATGCCTTTAAAATTCCCCATTTCCTGTCAGTTTCCACCATGGAAAGGTGTGGGACCATGTGCTAGGTGGAATGTCATGAACGCTCACTTTCTACATGCTGTCTGGGTTTAGTGCACACACTTGAGGTCTTGCTTCTTACGCGAAGCTTCATGTTGCCTTTCTGCCACTTGGTTGCAACATGTCTGATTTTAGATACAGGGATGAGACAGTTCTGTTTTACCAGGTGCCCCTGCTCATGTTCTATTAATGGCTTGCAGCCTCGCCTACTGAAGTGCCAGTGTCTGCAGTCTTCAGAGTCTTCCCTAGCTCCGTCAGGTATGTTTGGCTTGTTTGCCCACTTGTCTGAGGTTTTTACTACAGTCGGGAAAGACTTTGACCCTTGTCACCCAGTTATTTGCAGCCTGACTGCAGAGGCCATAAATGTGCCCCAAGCCTTTTTCTACAGTTTCTGTATCTGATCTACCCATAGCCATTGAAACTCTTATTCTGAGTCGCTTTAGTCTCTGATGAGCTTGTTTTTTTCCCCAGACGGTTTAATCTTATTTATACAGTACACATCACTGTGAAATTAGATGGTCACTTTTACCACTGCTATTCTCAGTCTCGGGTCATTTAAAGCCCTTAAGACTGCAGAGACTTTCCCAATACACCCTGCTGTTCAAAGTCTTCCTCTACACTCTAACAAGGTTTACTTCCCCAAAGCACTCCTTAGTCTTGTACCCGTTTAACAAAAAAAAAAAAAAAAAAGCCTGTTGCCACTGTTAATCCAGCAGTGTCCGAACTTAAAGCGGAGCTCCAGGCTTCTCCCAACAAATTAAGTCAGTATCTACAAATACTGTTGTTGTTGACTTTTAATATACAGTAAGGGCACTTGCCTGTCCTGGGGGCCCAGTGATGTCCTGCCCTGAGCCAATTCTTCAATCGGCTATGTGTGTTGGCATCTTCAGTAAGGGAAATGGGCAGTGAAGCCAGTTTACAGCCAGTTCACTGCTGCTTATGTGCGTAGCGCTTGTGAATGGTGGTCGTAGTCTTCTGGGACCTGTGAAGTGCCCGAACTTCCAGTTAGATTGCTGCGGCGATCTGTCCCTGGAATTGGGAGCAGGTAAACGCCCCGCCAAAAAAAGGGCCAAGTGCGGCAGTAGAGGAGGGGGGGAAGCAGAAAAACGGAACTTCCCCTTTTATTGTTAACAAAGCAACCACTGTACTGCTGGAGGATGCACCTGTCTTCAATCATTTCATTATCACCACCATAACTGGCTGCCAGATTTCACTTAGAAGGGACTAGGACAGCTATAAAACTATATACAATTTTACACTTGTATTGGGCAATGGCCTAAGGACTATTTTGGTTATTCTTTTTAGTTATTTGCCATTTCACAGGTGCACCCAGTTTTAAAGTCTGACCAATTTTTTTTTTTTTTTTTTTTTTTTACGTGACACAACCTCCTCTTTTATTTTACCTAGATATTGAGTTATATTGTGTTTTTGTGCACAACAATTAGAATGTACTTTTAGAAAACTGTATAATGTTTGGGGGGGTTTAAGTTTTGTTTTCATGTAAAGAATTGTTCATGGTTGTAAGCCCTCTGTGTGCAGCTGTGTTCTCTCCAACAAACCCTACTTTTCATTCAGTCTTAACTGTGACTTTGCTTTGCCAGACCTTGACTGGTCAAAGTCTCTTTACAAATGGTTGCAACTTTAACTGCAGTTGTGACAGGCTGCTGGAGGTTTTCCTGTCTTATCTTCCGCATTAATCTCCTGTCGATACACATGCAGAGCACTCTTTGGTTAAAGCACTGGTCTGCAGAACCCATGTTTAAGGAGTTTGTGATTTGCCTGGCCTTTGAGACACATTTCTTCAGATCTACTAAACTATTCTCAAGAATGCTACTGGTGGCAAGAACTCCCATCTACCTTCGCAGAAGAAGCCCAAGAGACAGATTGCAAAGTCTTCTCCTTTCTTGTTTGTTTAAAAATGTCCACCTAATTTCTTCCAACATTATTCATGTGCAGACCCCCAAAGCTTGGTTCCAAGTCCAATCTCAAGGTCTGGGGCTCAGTCTGTCTAATCTTCAGACTAACCTTCCTTGACACAGACCCACACTCACTTCCCAGAGTGGGGTTGACATTTGTTAACTTTTGTGGACACTGCATAGAATCCACCAGGACTGTCATCACCTATCTTTACCTAGGAGACTTTCTATCTTTGTGGACATCAAGGATGTGTCTTCATGCCTTTCTTCTTTTCAGAGCTTTAGCATTCCCTATACTTTTCTGTGAAAGCTGTAAACTGCCAGTCTGTGGCAGTGCCCATCAGCCTCTCATCTGCACCTCAGTTCACCAAGGTGCTGACCCCAGTACAATCATTGCTCTTGTGGCATCCTCCATTGTGGGATGCTTAGATGACCTCCTGTTGTGGGATCAGTCAGCATAGGCTCTTTCAGACAACATGGCTTTCACTGTCAAGACATTACAATAGATTGTATGGATCCTGAACCTTCAGAAATAGTCACTGGAACCAGTTACTCTTTCGGAGTATCTGTGTCTAGTCCTGGACACAGCACAGGCCAGAGTGTTAGTACCATTGGAGAAACTTCAAAGACTGATCTGATTCAAGCTCTCTATTCCTTTAGCTTGAGAGTCTTGGGTCTGATGGTAGCTTCAGGGCAGTCCTGTTTTGCCCAGTTTGAGGCTCTACTATGCAATATTCTATCATTGTGGGATAAGGCTTTTCAGTCCCTGTACAGACTAAAACCCGGTTGACCCCGGCATGGTGGCTTAGGAATCTGGCTCTAAAATCCAGGAAGTCCTTTGCTTTGGAAGATCCTTATGATAGATGCCAGCCTGCTGGTTTCCTCTCCCGATCATAATCCTGGAGCTTCAGGCGATTTGACTGTCCTTGCAACATTGGACCATTCTGCTGGATGGTTATCTGATTTGGCTTCATTTGGACATTATTGCAGTTGGTTGCGTACATCAATCAGGGAGGTAGAATTAAACCTCAGCAAAAAAAATTTAAAAATTGGTCCGCAGGAGATTTTAGACATAATATTCTAGCATGCACTGCATATTCGCACATTATGTAAATCTTAACTGGCAAGTGATCCCCCTCCAGCTCTGCACTGTCAGTGCTGCAGTCGGTCACAGGTACTTTCATCTTCTCCTGCCTTCCTTCTGGGTTTATCTGCCCCTGAATTGGCTTTGCTACAATGACTTCACTCCCTTGCATTGGAGTATATATACATCCATGCGTGGATCATTGTGCACAACAGTAGGTAGAGAGAAGGGTTTATGACCTAAGAGACCAATAGGGTCTCTTCTGTCATAAAAATATTACCATTCAGCATTTTTTTTTTTTTAGATTTCATCCCACTGCTGGACTGGTTTGTCTCCAGATACAGGGCTAACAAGCCACTGATTCCACTACAGAAACCAAGTTTTCTATGTTGCCTACCCCTCCATTGGACTGCTTTTGGACGTCCTGAAGGTGAAAGGTGCACAAGACCCACTCTTCCGAGTTTATGATCATGCTCTTGGTACTGCTTTGCTACAAATAGAGACCTGCTGATGATGGGGGTTATTTTGGGCTGGCCTACTTTTTTATTTTTTGTTTGCAAGTGTCCAATCTTCCTGTAGGCAGCAGTATAACCTGAACATGAAAGACTTCTTGGATCCCTCAATGTACTCGAAGTATAGCGAAGTACAAAAATCCATTTTTTTTTTATTTTTTTGACTGACCTTTTTTGTGGTTTTTTTTTTTTTTTTTTTTTTTTTTTTTTTTTAGGTTTTGGCACAGCAGAGGGCAGAACAGCAACGGCGAGAACTTGCCCAAAGCACCACCTCAGACACCCCGATGGACCCTGTTACTTTCATTCAAACTTTGCCATCAGATCTACGCCGCAGTGTCCTAGAGGACATGGAGGACAGTGTTCTAGCAGTCATGCCCCCTGACATTGCAGCAGAAGCACAGGCTTTGCGCAGGGAACAAGAAGCTCGGCAGAGGCAACTCATGCATGAAAGACTCTTTGGTCATAGCAGCACTTCAGCACTCTCTGCTATCCTCAGAAGTCCAGGTAATGAAGACGTCATTAACAGTCATTTGTAGCTATAAATATAGTTAAAATGTTGTGGTTTGTCACTTGCTTTTCACTTCTGTATTTAATTTTTTTTCCCATACATCCAAAATAGGGAAAAAGATGTGAAAATTCAACCAGCAGTATGGAAATTGTTAGCAGGCATGTGTGATATTCCCTGTTCCCTAGAAGAACCGTTCAAACCTGCCTGGATATAATCTACCAGTGCCAGTTGGTGCCCAAATTAGGTCCCATAGCTGAACTACAAAATATCTCTCTTATCCTCTTTGCCCCTCTGTGCAGGTGACTGAGCTAAGAGGAATAAAGGAAGTTGGGATCAAGGTGGAAAATTAGATTGACTATGTGTAGAGGCGATTAACTATTTAGTATAAAGTAAAGCCATAGTTTTCTAAGAAGGGTAGAGGTTATGAAAATTTGTATTTTCTTAAGCATACATCACAGGACACATGAGTTAATAATCTTGACAATTTGGGTTATACTGCCACCTTTAGGTGAATGGACATTGTCCAAAAAATGCAGGAATCTCCGCTCAGGCATAAACCCTCCCACCTCAGTTAAGCCTCAGTTTTGTGTTGGTGTCTGAAGGTGATGGGCACTTCCCCTTGTCTTTCTGAAGATCTTCTTTTTTTTGGGACTTTGTTTCCACATCTCTGGCCCTTCCACAACTGGCAGCTGGCCAAGAGGAACTGTACCCAGACACCACAGCGAGGTTGGCCTATAATGTTAGCTGTTCAGTTCTGAACCCTGTGGGCAGCTACCACTGGTGTACAACATACCTGGTGGACTTGCAGGCAGGGTGCTCTACAGGTCAGGTCAGTGATTCTTGTGGAGGCGAGTCATGTTCTCTGAAGGTCCTGTGACAGTTGCCTTTCAGAGCTTGAGCAACCAGCCCTGGGCTCCAAGCAGAATCCCACGCCTCAGTTCTGTAAGTAGAAATGGACCCCCCAGTCCTCCGGTTTTAGGGATGCCAATCGATCTTCTGTGAAAGAACCCACACTGGTGCTAGCGGATGGATGTCTGCAGGTGACCCCAGGAAGTCACAGATGGCTGGGTCTGCACCGTGGTGTTCAGAGGATACATGGTGGAGTTTTGCGGTTTTCTTCCTCAATAGTCCCCTTGTGCTGGTAGAATGCAGCTCTCAAGGCATTTATTAATTAGAGGCGTTTATATAGCACTGACAATTTGCTAAGCACTTCCCTGCCCTCAAGGAGTTTACAATCTAAGGTCTTCAATTCACATTCAACAATGCACATACTAGGGCCAATTTAGTCAGGAGCCAATTACCCTACCAGCATGTATTTGGAATGTGGGTGGAAACCAGAGCACCTGGAGGAAACCCACATAGGCACAGGAAAAATATGCATAATTGATGCAGGTAGGGCCGTGGTTGTGATTCGAATCAACTAACCACTTAGCCGATTTTATTCCAGCCTGTTCCGTTTCCAAGCCAAAATTACATACAGCTCATCCCGGGCCTCAAGAGTCTCAACAAGTAGCTGAAAATACATAAATTAATTGTCCACAGGCCCCAGGGTATTCACAAAGGTGTTTTCTCTGGTTTTGGGTTTAAGAACCTGTGGAATACCCATTGTGGAGCACCTAAATGACCTGCTTCTAAAGGAGCTATCCGTTCAGAAACTGTCTGCGAATATCCTACAAGATGAGACAAGTCTTGGTGAGGTTTGGCTGGTTTCTGACCCTTCAGAAGTTGCACTTGGTTCCAACTCAATGCCTGGAGTAGTTGCTCCTTTATATGGCTCAGGCAGAGGTACTGCATCCCCAGGAGAATGCCTGTCTCTTGAGTCCAGGTCTGTCCGAAAGTCTCTTCATGCAGATCCGCATGAAAGAGCTGGGGAAGATCGTAGTTCATTTTTGATGTAGTTCTCTTTCCACAGTTTCACTCCAGAGCTGACTAGTCCAATTTTTTGTCAGTATGGAACAAACACCAAGAGTCCTAGGATCTGGCAGTGCATCTTATATCCCGGACCAGGGTGGCTCTGGAGTGGTGGATAACCATGCAGCTGCTGGATACTGGTTAATATTTCCTTCCAATGAATTGGAAGATCTTGATGACGGATGCCAACCTCCCAAGCTTCAGAGGCTTTCTGGAGAACCTCTCTGCTCGAGTGGTAGACAGCCACAGTGCCACGGCTGTGATCTACATCAGTCATCAAGGAGGGGTGAGAAGCCAGACTGCTCATGAAGTGGACCTGATCCTGTCATGGGCAGAACTTCACATTCTGTCCCTCTCCTCTGTGCAGATTCCTAGCATGGAAAAATGGCACGTGAATCCGGGTGAATGGAGTTTAGAGATTGCCATGTCATAGGGTGTGATGTATGTGGATCTTTTGTTGTCCAGATTCAACAACAAAGTGGACATGTTTGTGGTTGAGCCCCAGGGATCCTCAAGCATTTGTGCTGGATGCCCTGGGTTGACTCCTTGGGATTAGATCTCTCTGATCTCTGCATTCCCTCCACTCCAAATTTTTCCCTGACTGTTACACAGGGTAAAGGTGGGGACGGCATTCCGGAACATGATATGCCAATATTGTAAATCTCTTGGCAGATTTGATGTGGGCTCTTCCAGGTCTGCCAGACTTGCTGTTGTAGGGTTTTCTGTTCATTTCTGCTTTATTGGCTGGCTTTGACAGCATGGCTGTTTAAGTCCAAGTCTTGGAGGACAGGAGTGATTCTGAATCTGTAATACCTATCCTTCTCAAGGCTGGAAAGTCGACCTCTAGGACAGTGTACCATCATATATGGAAGGCATATTTCACCTGGTGTGACGTGCGTAGTTTTCATCCCCGATGAGGTTTTGAGGTATATTTTGGCCTGCCTTCTACAGTCTGCTGTAGCTGGTTCTGGCTTTTGAGTACCATCAAGGCACAAATCTTAGCTTTGCCCATGCTTTTTCAGAGATCTGTTGGGTCTCATTGCTTGGTCAAAGCCTTTGTGCAAGCGATCACATGCGGATTGTCCCTTCTGAGCTGCTCCTGCCATTCTCTTGTGGACCTTAACCACTTTAGGACCGTTATAAAACCGTTGTACTGCTGCAGGGCGGTGGTCCTGTGCAAAATCACGTTTATATGCATGATTTTGCTCTTCCGCTATCTGGCAGCAGCTCGTGACTGCTGTGAACACTCACAGCAGAAGCTGTTCTGCGAGTACTGGCTAACTGATATTCGCTGGCACCCACCTATCTTCTGGCAGGGACAAGAAACAGAGCTCTGCCTATTTAAACAAGGTAGAGCTCTGTTCTGACATGGGGAGTGAAAGATCGTATTTCCCTGTGAAGCTGGGAACATGATCTTTAACTTCCCATAGTTACCAGCACCACCTAGTGTACACAAAAAACACATAGCTAATCACACACTTATCCCTTCACTTGCCATAGATATTAACCCCTTCCCAACCAGTGTCATTAGTACAGTGATCAGTGCATAACGCAAACTAATCAATATACGCTTATTGGGATTTTTTTTTTTTTTTTAACCAAAAATATGTAGCAAAATAAATTTCGGGCCAAATTTTATAAAGTAATTTAGATTTTTTTCTGTTTTTGTTTATAGCATAAAAAGAACAGAGGTGATCAAATACCACCAAAAGAAAACTTTTTGTGGGGGGAAAAAAAGGACATAAATTTTGTTTGTTGCATGACCGCGCAATTGTCAGTTAAAGTAGCGAAGTGTCGTATCACAAAATGGCTTGGTCAGGAAGGGGGGTAAATCTTCTTGAGGTCAATTAGGTCTTGCCTGTTATGTAGTCTCCTACTTTTAAACCTTTTCGAGAGATTCCCTTGTTGCTTCTTTGCACGGTAGTCCTTTTTTTTTTTTTTTTTTTTTGTGCCCATTAGGATCTTAGGATTGGCTGTGCTTTCCTGCAAGGAACTTTGATCCTTTCTTCATTGCACCTAATCAGGACATTATTATTATACAGTATTTATATAGCGCCAAAGGGTATGCTCAGCGCTGTACAGTAGCAAGGGGGACAGAACATGAGACAAGACAGAAACAATACAATACACGAGGGGTTCGAGGGCCCTGCTCTTTCGAGCTTACAATCTAGGAGGGAGGGGAAGGTGGTACAGGAGGAGATGGCTGTGGGGGATGGAGTGGTGGGAGGAGTGGAGGAGGTTAGTTGTTAGGTGAGGTCGGGTGTTAGGTGAGGTTGGGGTAGGCTTCCCTGAAGAGGAGGGTTTTCAGGGTGCGCCTGAAGGTGAGGAGGGTAGCTGACAGTCTGATGGATTGGGGTAGGGAGTTCCAGAGGATGGAGGAAGCCCTGGAGAAGTCCTGCAATCGGGCGTGGGAGGAGGGGACCAGGGAGCTAGAGAGTAGGAGGTCCTGTGAGGAGTGGAGGGCACGGGTAGGGTAGTATTTGGGTATCAGGTCAGTTATGTAGTTTGGGGCGGCATTGTGAATGGCTTTGTAGGTCAGAGTTAGCAGTTTGAATTTGATGCGCTGGGCAATTGGGAGCCAATGAAGGGATTGGAAGAGGGGGGAGGCAGATGTGGAGCGGTTGGTGAGGTGGATGAGTCTCGCCGCTGAGTTTAGGATCGACTGGAGTGGGGATAGCGTTCGTTTGGGTAGGCCAGTGAGAAGGGAATTGCAATAGTCCAGGCGTGAGATGATGAGAGAGTGTACGAGTTGTTTGGTGGTGACATTGTGCTGCCATACTTTTCTTCAAATCCTAAGAGGAGAAAGTGCATCACTCTCTTGATATTCAAGTTTATCTGAAGGTCTGGCTACCTTGCTATATACTATTTCCAGGTGGATTCTTCAGCTCATTTCTCAGCTTATGGTTTGAGGGAAAGTTTCCTCCCTTCTTGGTCCAGACCCATTTTATCTGGAGTGTCAAAACTTCCTGGGCCATGCAGCATTAAGGTTCTGTTCAGGTTTCTAAGCCTGGTCTTCTCTTAACACGTGTACTAAATTCTACCAGGTTCATATGCAAGCGCTAGTTTTGAACGGAAAATCTTTCAGGCAGTTTTGTAGTGGGGTTTCCCTCATTTGGTTTGGGGATTTTGGACTTGTTGACCTTGATGCTCTTCTCTTATGTTTAGTGCCTGAGGATATCCCAAGTAGTCATGATTATTAACTCTTCAGTGCCCAGTGATGTACGATTAAGAAAATACATTTTTATAAAAATAAATATTTTTAGTTTACCTGTAAAAAAAATTTCTTGGAATACATCACTGTACGCATTGATTCCTCCCCTCATGCTTGTGTTCCTCATAGCTTGCTGCAATATTAAGGCTTAGCCTGTACTCTGGTTCATGATTTGTTTTTTTTTTTTTGTTTTTTTCTTCCCCCTGCCACGGTCTGGTCCCCTGAACGTGGCAGCACTCAGGATTATTAAAGCTTTTTTTAATGAATAAAAAAAAAAAAAAAGAACCAGCACCATGGATGGTGGTTAGTGCATGAAAAGTGTCCAGTTAGGTTGAAATCTTCAGTCCTCTGCCCCTGAGTATCACTGTGGCTGTGAGCTTTAGCTGCTGTAGAGGTTAATATGAGCAGCTGTGCCTGTAACAGGCATTTGTAAAAAAGTGCTGACTATGACCACCCTTTCACCCCAAGCTCCATTCACAGAAGCTGTACTATCTTCTTGCAATAAACAGCACTCTCCAAGTAGAGGCAGCAAACCTTTAATCTGCCTGTCCTCCATTCATACATTTACATTCTTGAATGTAGCAATAAAAAAAGTCTTCATAGTAGAAGGAAAAATTTCTGACTTTATTTTTGTTTTTGTAGCATTTACAAGCCGCTTAAGTGGAAACAGAGGGGTTCAGTATACTCGGCTGGCAGTGCAGAGAGGGAGCACCTTCCAGATGGGAAACAGCAGTACCCACACAAGGTAAGAGTAACTTAATTACAATGTTTGTTGCGTTTGCTGCAATTTTTTTATTTTTTTATCCCTCTTGTTTAAACTCTGAAAAAATAGCTGGTCATTAGTTCAGCTGCATGAAGTACATGCGAAAAAAAAATTGATTTCTAATTTGCCTTTTTTTTTTTTTTTTTTCGTTATTGGAAGATTAGACCTATGAATTTATTATTTTGCCAACTAGCATTTTCAGAAAGAAGTCAACAATAGCAGTCTAGATATTACCATCATGACAGGTTTACTTTAGAGTTGAACTGCAAGCCAACAGCAAAATGCAAATAAATCTTTATAGTGCAAATTTTTCCAGCAAAATGCAAATTAATCTTTATAGCGCTAATTTTTCTCTGCTGTAGTTAGGTAGTGTTTGGAGGTCTTGTCCCTTCCCCAGGCTGTGGTTAGACCAATGTTTCTCAACCTTTTTTCAGTCAAGGTTCCCTTTAAAATTCTGGACAGTCCCGAGGCACCCTTTAAAATTCTGGACAGTCTTGAGGCACCCCATTTTAGCATGGGGTGCCTCAAGACTGTCCATAATTTTAAAGGGTGCCTCAGGACTTTCCTGAACTTAAAAGGGCAGCCAATTCTAAAATGTGAAAAACTATTCTAATAGTTTTTATATAATTCAGCAACATCTACACAGGTAGGACACCCAACGTTAGGTGATTTATTCTTCCAGAACAAATATACTTTTGCACACTGGTACTGACCTAGTATGCCAATGTTTCTCTTCCCCCTCAGTTTTTCTCCATCACTGACCTAATGCGGCCCCAGCACTGATGGAGAGGGGCAGGGGAGGGTCAGACTAGAATGCTGTGTAGGCAGCTGACATCCTCCTTATCAACTGATGATGTCATTGGTTGTCAGGATGCCGGTGGCTAGAAGGTCATAAATGGTGCTTAATGAAAACCTGCGACTTTGTGTAACTAAAAGGCAGGCTCGTTCCACCTACTGGCTTGTATACAAGTTTTGGGCAATTTTTAGACATTTTGCCAAGGCACCCCTGAAGAAACCTCAAGGCACCCCAGTTAAGAGAAGCTGGGTTAGACAGTGAAAAGTAACGCGGCCCATTAATGAGCTCATCTCTGTTGTTCTGCTCTTAATTTCATTGAGTATGTCTCTCATTGACACATGAACACTGCAGCAAGAGGCTGACACATGCTTAGTTTCAGGTACTTAACACCACTTCCATGTATAACAATAATATATTAATGAATACCTCACTGCATTATTTTGTATCTTTTTATGTTTGAGCTTTAGGCTGTGTCTACATGTAAGACTTACTAAAAAGGTACAAACTTTTTTCAGATAAGATATTCTGACAGATTTCCTCCCTTGTCACATGTCAAATGTTAAATCTAACATCTACAGTACAGTTAATAGTTGAAATTACACTAACCACTTTCTCTCTTTCCAGGCCTGCTGGCAGTAATGTGGACAGTTTGCTCAGGCTACGAGGGAGACTTTTGTTGGATCATGAAGCCCTCTCATGTTTGCTTGTATTGCTCTTTGTAGATGAGCCAAAACTCAACACCAGCCGTTTGCACAGAGTCTTGAGGAACCTCTGCTACCATGCACAAACCCGAAATTGGGTTATCAAAAGCCTTCTGTCAATCCTGCAACGCAGCAGTGAGAGTGAACTCTGCATAGAGAGTCCCAAAAGTTCTTTAAGTGGCCCTGATAAAAGGGGTGCTGCCAAGGCCTGTTCTTCCAGCCACGATAGTCGTCCTTTAGAACTGTTGCACAAAATGGAATCCAAAAACTCCAATCAGCTGTCTTGGCTCTCTGTTTCAATGGATGCTGCTCTTGGATGCCGAACAAACATATTCCAAATCCAGAGGTCATTGGGGCGCAAGCACACAGAGAAGCATGCTGCTTGTGGCTCTACTGTTCATATCCACCCTCAGGCTGCCCCTGTGGTGTGCAGGCATGTGTTGGACACGCTTATACAGTTAGCCAAGGTAAGTGGAAACACGGTTGAAAAAAACTGAATATATAATGCTTTAAAAAAGCATGGTTGGATTTAGTTTTCCATTTGTTTTGGAAGTCTTTTCATGGAGGTAAAACAGTGTCACTGAGAAAAGGCTTTTCTTTGCTTATTAAAGGACAAGTTAAATTTTACTGCCAAAATGGGTTATAAGCATATAGGTCAATTAAAAAAAAAAAAAAAAAAAAAAAAAGCCTACAATAAAATGGTCACTCATTTGCCTGCTTTGTGTACCAAGCTTTTCCACTATTGTCACTGTAGTACATTCATAGTTCCAGAGATGAGGCCAAGGAGATGGTCTGTGTGACGTAAAATGCTATTCACTCTGTCCAGCTTTGTACAAACCAATGCGGACCTGGTCCTGTTAGGAACAGCCAGGCTTCATACACAGTGTGGCCCGGGTCTTTGTTCCATCCATATGATAAAAGTTCAGTTCATTTTTAGAATAACAGGCCTTTCTGTGAAAGGCTAATTTAACCGCCTCCCGCCCGCCATATAGTACAATGACGGGCGCAAGACGGCTCTCTCGATCTGTCCTCCCATTCTAACCGCACATACGCGGCTCCGGGAGTTCGTGGCGATCGGCAGTACGCTGTGTCCCTCGGACACCGTGGATCACCGGTCAACGGAAAGAGCCAAGATGTCAGCTCGGTCATGTGATCAGCTGTCACAAGTAAACAGGGAAATGCCGTTTAGCTCTCTCCTGTCAGCATGGACATGCTGTTTTGTATCTCTGCACAGCATGTCTCCCTAGTAAGAACACAACACAGTAAAACGCACAGTTAACCCTTTGATCACCCCAGATGTTAACCCCTTCCTGCCCAGGGTCATTAGTAGTCTCAGTGCTTTTTATTAGCACTGATCACTATTAGTGTCACTGGGGATGTCAGTGGCAATTAGTTACCACCCAGTTGCAGAATGCCCACCGCAGTCCTACTAGAAGTCTCTGCTGCCATTACTAGTATAAAGAAAATTAAAATTGCAGTGTATATACCACCATTTGTAGACGCTATAATGCTCAAGTAAACCAATTAATTTCAACGTATTGGGATTTTTTTTTTTTTTTTTTAGCAAAGATGTAGCAGAATACATTTTGGCCTAAATGTATGAAGAAATTAGATTTTTTTTAAATTTATTAATTGGATATATTTTATAGCAAAAAGTCAAATATATTGTTTTTGTTTTTTTTCCCAAAATCCTCAGGTTTTTTTTGTTTATAGTGCAAAAAATAAAAACCGCAGGGGTGATCAAATACCATTGAAAGAGCGCTCTATTTGTGGGGGGGATTACATAAATTTAATTTATGTACAGCGTTGCATGACTGCACAATTGTTAAAGTAACGCAGCGTCATATCACAAAAATGGCCTGGTCAGGAAGCAGGGGGTAAATCCTTTGGCAGGCAAGTTGTTAATTATACAGTACCAGGCATAGGCAAAGTATTCATTGTACCTGGGTTATAATCTGATCACTAAAGCTTACACATGCAAGGATAATATCTTCATACCCTTCCACCAGATCAGTGGCAGTTTGTGGGCTTTCTGGAACTAAGTCTGTGTAGTCCAGTTTGCAAGACTGTCATCTGGACCTCTTTTATTATTTTTTCAAAGTACTCCTAGGTGGATGTGGTGTCTTCTGTTGATGCAGCTTCCGGCTGCAAGGTTCTTACAGTAGCACTCTGAAGTTGTTGTTCAGTCTGTTGGCACAGTTCTGTTTGCCTTGTTTCTCACCCTTCTCATTCATTGCTTGGGAACGTCACAGGGCCTATGAATACTTTGTGTTCTATACTGTACAATTAAGAGGAGTTTTAAATGAACCTGTAAATTTCATAATCTGGTGTATAGTACAGGACACAGCCCACCACCCTCCCTTCCATTCCTTACTCTGTGAATCCTCGATTTTGTAGCAAGCAATGCAAAGTGGTGTAGCTGTAACGGAACCGAGCCCAGACCGCACTTTGGTATTTCTGTTATACTCCCGCTTCCCTGTTCGAACACAGATCCACGGACACCACCGCTGATCATGCAGGAAATAGACAGCACCACATGCTTCCTACGACAAGAAGTCAACTGCTTTTATTTTTACACACACACAAGATATATACACAGGGCGGGGAAATACAACCAGGAACAGGAAACACATCAGCAGGCCCTCCCATCAGGGGGAAGGGCTGCCGGAAACACCCCCCACCAAACCAAGACACACAATAGAACAATGGGATACACCATGTGGCAGCAGACAATAGGGGAACACATGCATCCCATAATAGTTTGCTGGCAAGCAAGATACAATGGGGCAACCACATGGCAGTGAACAATGAACAACCCCCACACCCAACCTATACATGGTCTACACTATCAGGACAGAGCACCCTGCGCCCCTAACAGGCACATGGTGGGCTACACATAAGAGGAACAATAGGGGTCCCCCCACCCCCAAAAGTCACTCCCATCACAGTAGCGTGTTCGGGGAGGCAGCCAGGGGACATGTTCTCTAAAGCTTTGCCAGTGCCTATTTAACTGAATGTACAAGCCCAGGGTCTACAAATACCTGTGTCCTGTACTGCACTCCTAGATGTAGAATTTACAGGAAAGTCAAAATTCTTTTTTGTTTTAGTTTGGTACTGCTTGTGTATATGCACTATATTATACTATGCACTTTCGTGTGATTTTTAATATTCGCTCAACTTTATCAGTAATGTGTGTAAGCAAACAAAAATGAACTTAGACCAATGTTTGCTGCAAAGCTGCCTCAGTATATCGCAGCTGAATAGTACTGAATGTCTGACTCTGACACAGGACAAAGGAGCTTTCCCATTTCATACATCAACAATGATGACATCATTGAAGGAACATGGAAAGACTCCTCACGGTCCTCTGAAAGCAGGACAGTCTCATGCAATACATTTGCTCCCAGCATCTGGTTTAGAAGTTTAGCTACTTATTTTTGTAGCCTTTTTTTCAAAAAGGCTAAAAAAGAAGAATGGTTTATTTAAAAAGATAAACAGGATCAGCCTTATTGCAAGCATTCCCAACCACTTCGTTCCCAGCCTCCACTACAGCTCCACCGACTGAAGGATGCTGCCTCCAGGAGGGTCGAGACCTGAGAATTGTAGCATAAAAAAGCAAAAGTGAAGCCACTCAGTTTCTGATAGTCCAAAGTAAATGTATTGATATCTGATACAGGGATGATCCACCTGCTCCTCTCCTCTACACATGCCATTAGCATAGCCATAGAGTACGCATTGCAGGATAGGGGCACACCTTTATTACAACTGGATTGTGTACATGTATGTCTCATGAAGGATGCACACCAGGGGGGAACCAAGCCCGGATCTGATACAATACAAACAACTGCAAAACCTTATTTGGATAATGTGTAACAAAAGATCTGGAAACTTTACCCAAAGACAGATATGTATATCTTATATAACCCAGATTTCCACAGTTCTGTTATACAGCGATTAACAACGTACGTCCTGCTGGTGTTAAATAGAACTCATGGCAACTGCAACCTGTAAAACTTTCATGGAGCATCGTTCTAAGTGCTGAGAAGAGATCGCCGAATGGGGTGCTGGCATCTAAATGCTCATCCCAGCCACCTAATGAGGTATCCCATGTGAAGGCACTGCACACAGACCGCTCAAAAAAATGGAAACATGACGTGATTTGCAGTTGTGAAAGTGACAACATGGTGCAAAAGTGACTGCATAGCTCAGTCTCAGTCTTCACTGGACTAAGATTGAGCTGTGCATTTTTTCAGCAGTTGTTTTCTTATTCCAGATGATAATCCTGCGAAATATCCTTTTGTCTCTTTCAGTCAGTTGAGCACGTCGATCACACTAATGCTTATCAGACCACATTTTCCTGGAAACTGTATATGCTGTCAAGGGGCGGACTGACAACTCATGGGGCCCCTGTGTCTTTGCCCAAACTCAAAAAAGCCTATGAAAAAGGTACCAGGGGCATCTCATGGGGCCCCCTACTGACCCCGGGCCCTCGGGCAGTGCCCGTGTTTCCAATTGGTCAGTCCGCCCCTGATGCCGTCATAACCTTTTGATATTGCACCTCGCGACACGGCAAATTGGCAGCTTCAGTCACAGAGGCACCAGCTAAGCGGGCGCCAACAATTTTCCCTCTTGAAGGGCTCGTTCACACCATGGTGCAGAGATGTCAGTTTTTACTGTGCGCATTCTACAAGGGCACAACCAAATCAATTGTTCTCTGTGCCCTGTTCACACCGCAACACTAGTATCGCGTGCAGATTTTTTTCTGTGCAGGAATCTGCAATGTGTATAAAACTAATTTAAACTGATGTCTTTGCAAGTGAAATCTGCACATCAGTTTTTTTTTGCACGTAAGAGATAAGTGAAGAAAAGATGGCCTCCACTCATCTCTATGCCCTTGGAGGATCAGAGCGATGTCACTTCCGGTTCTGGCGCCTTGTAAACCAGGCCTTTTTTTTTTTTTCTTTTTTTTTTTTTTTTTTAAAGCACTAGATCAATGCTTTTTTTGATCTGATGCTTTACATTGTAGGAGACATGTGGGGTCTTATTGACACCATATTTCTCCATAAAGAGGACCTGTCACTAATTTCCATCACAAAGGATGCATGCATTCTTTGTGATAGGAATAAAAGTGATTACATTTTTTTTTAAAGGGACAGTGTAAAAAATAAGTTAATAAAAAAAAAGTTTAAAAAACCCCCTGTGGTCGCACTTAGTGGTGAACACATATGTAGGCCACGCCCACATATGTTAACGGTGTTCAAACCACACATGTGAGGTATCACCACGAACATCCGAGCAAGAGCAATAACTCTTGCACTAGACTTTCTCTAACACTGCTAACCTGTAGACATCTTTAAAATGTCACCCATGGAGATTAAGTACCATAGTTTGATGCCATTCCACGAGCGTGCGCAATTTTAAAGCTTGACATGTTGGGTATCTACTCGCCGTATCATCCAAAAATTGGGGTATATATTGTTTGGTTTTTTTTTTTTTGTTTTTTTTTTTTTTTTTTTTTTTTTTTTTAACTATTAAAGTGTATTTTTTTCCAAAAATGTATTTTCATTTTTAAAACTTCCCATTTTGGTTTTCGGCCAAATGATTCCTGAATTTTCGGTTTCGGCACCAGAATTTCCATTTCAGTGCACCACTAGTGTAAACGAGGCCTAAAGCTCAGTGAACTCTGATAGAACTCCGTATTACTAGCAGCACACACAGTGTATGACAAAAGTGAGGCTTCCCACCTGTTGGCTAGGTGTCTCATCACACAGCAGAAGTAAAAGAATGTTACATCACTTTCCGCTTTCAACGCCAAGGATGCTGTCACTTTCACACCTGCAAATTAATTTAGTTTTTCCATTATTTTTTTTTGCCTATTTTTTTGATATTTATATATCAAAAAGTGAAGAGCGGCCTCGGCTCCTCCCCTAAAAGGGGTGTGGTCTCGGGGAGCTCAGGCTGAGGCTCCCATGGTACTATCTACCTCATTATCCATGCAAATGTTTTTTGGACTGGAGTATTTTTTAGTCACTGGGGAGGAGAAACAACATAATGGGACATTTAACATATCACAGAGATATTGAGGATAGGTTGAAAGAAATGTGTAAAAGTTGATTTGGGAGCATCTTCTTTAGTAATATGAGCGTTGACGCACAGTACAGCGCCCTTTGTATATTTTTGGCCCCAATTATTGGTTTAGCTTAAAGCAGTATTAAAGCCAAAACCAAAAATTTAAAAGACAAGTATGTGATGGCTAACCTCCCCCCCCCCCCCAAATTATACTAACCTAGGTCCAATGCTGCATCTGTCCCCCTGCCAGCACGAAAGTGTGAGAACTCAACAATTACATTTCGCTGTGAGCAGAGAGCGGTGAATGTCAGTCACCGCTCTCTGCTCTGTTTCTGCCCCGCGCTCGCTGGAGTGCTGGGCTGTGGTGGGGGAGGGAGTGGCTGGCTCAGGCTCTCAGATTGCCGAGAGGCTGAGCAAGGTGCCACTCCAGACTCTGTGGTGGATCCTGACTTTAAAGTCAGATCTTTCCCCAGCCTGGACCGGCTGAGTAACGTCAGCTGATAGCTGGCGTAAGCCATCTGTCAGCTTTAAATGGGTCACAGGAGTGAAGAACGAACTGTACTGCTGTGATCCACAGGAGAAGTACAGCTGAAAGAGCTTTGGCTGCAATTTATATATTGCAGCTTACCAGTCATTAGATGTGGTGGATGCTTTAGTTTTCTTTTATCTTTTTAGGCTTTTTTTTTTTCCCTACCTCTTTTCACCTGGTGATCTAGCCAGTAACACACCACTTGTACTAGAGTGCACCTTTTGGACAGCCACATTGTTAATCTGGGGGGGGGGGGGGGGGGGAGGAGTATTAGCAGATTTAGATACACTAACTAAATGAAGCCAAATTCCAGCTTACATTTGATAAGCAGCTACTGCAACAGTTTTTGTTTTTTTGTTTTTTTTCCTTTTTGGGATTTTTTTTTATATAAATAAAAGCTGATAATTGTAAGCACCCCTGTCAGTGGTAAATGGTCTCTAACTGCTGCATGTGCAGGAGATCTTGTTCTTTTAAAAAAACAGGCTTACCAGCCTAAAAAAGAAAACGAACACAGCCACCGCACCTAAGAATTGGTAAGCTGCAATATAATAAATTCTTACTTTTCTATTTAATACTGCTTTAATTTGCTTGGTGAAAATCTGACAAATGGTAAACTGGAAGTTCTACAGAAAAGCATTCATGGAAACCTCTTGACATCCTATTTTGCTAACAGGGAGTGATGCTGCTGAAATCCTTTTTCTCTTATGGCCCATTGGGGGGAAAACTTTTTTTTTTTTTTTTGGCACTTCTTTGCGGTTTTTGACCACAAAGAAGTGTTTCTTCTCTTTCGTCTGTACAAAGCATTTTCTCTTCAGAGCCTCTCAGCTGTTTGTTCCCCCTCCATCAGCGGATGGGATGGAGCGGTCTCATCTGTCCCAGGAAAATGAATCTGCTGGAGGAAAAGCAGCATTCCTCTTTTACCACATAGAGCAGCTCTCCACAATCATATCACTAATGCAATGTTTGGGTCCTAAGAAAAAAATACTTTCTGGAGTGACTTTGTTCTGATTTGTTTGGGTGCATCTCATTTACACACAGTGTATGGTTTACATACGTATATGGCTTAAAATTTCCTACTGTAAAGAGATTGAACGTCTTTTCAGTTTCTTCATTTATTTGTGATGCTGTTAGTGAGGCCCTTTCACAAACAAATCTGAGGAAAAATGCTCAGAAAAAAATCAAGTATTTGATTGCAGCATTCTTCCTTTCTATAAATATTTTTTTTTAATTTGCCATGTACCTGAGCTTGCTGGGGGCTTTTTTGTTTGTTTTTGTGTGGTTTTTATAGTTTTTGCTTAAAGATTTGATTTTAACCACTTGCCATCCAAAGGATTTAAACCCCCCTTCCTTCCTGACCAGGCCATTCTTTCTTGTGATACGGCGCTGCGTTACTTTAACTGACAATTGCACGGTCATGCAACGCTGCACATAAATGTATGTCCTTTTTTCCCCACAAATAGAGCTTTCTTTTTTTCTTTTTTTTTTTTTATAGTAATGGCAGCGATCGGCGACTTGTAGCAGGACTGCGGCGAGCATTCTGACACTGGGGGGAACTAACTGCCACTGACATCCCCAGTGACACTAACACGGTGATCAGTGCTAATAGAAAGCACTGGGCAGGAAGGGGTTAACTTTTGGGCGAAGGATTAACTGTGTGGTGTTTTTTTTTTTTTTGTTTGTTTTTTTTTTTACTGTGTGTGCTGTTTTACCAGGGAGACATGCTGTGCAGAGAGGTACAAAACAAGCATATCCATGCTGTCAGGGGAGAGACCTGTGGTGTTATCACACAGGTCTCTCGCCTGTCAGCTTTACACGGCAATCGCCGAGTTCCGGCTGGGACCCGGTGATTGACATCCCTAGCCGCCAATAGTGGCACAGGTAGGGTGGTCCGCGCACCCTGGCCTGGAAATGCAAGTCACGTATATATGTGATTTTGCGCAGCCCTGCTGTCCTGGCTTCTACTATAGAGCGGCGGGCAAGTCGTTAAAATTCAAGTCATCCTAAAACAGAGCAGGGCCCTCCTTACCCTCTTGTATTGAACTGTATTGTCTCCCGTTATATTGTAAAGCGCTGAGCAAACTGTTGGCTCTATATAAATCCTGTATAATCATAATAAAACAAAGGCCAAAAAATAAACTCTTGCTAGCAAATTTGACCAATTCAGGAAGAGTCAATTCCTAGCACAGTCCTTGCATGTCATAGCCCCCTCCTCTTCTGGGAGTGCCTGATTACTCTGTACTGGCCCCCCTCCCTCGCCTTACTATACAACTTTTATGTAGTTGCTGAGGAGGAACAAAAGGGATTCTGTAGTATGTCGTTCGAGTGACAGCTCTGAGTCTGCTACTGTGTGATTTGGATGTAATGTCAGAGGCTTAGCAGTCTTGTGGCTTTTGGATGTTTGTATGGGGGAGGATTTTACAGGTAAGTAACATGCATAAATTCCCATATAACTTTTTGAAGGATTGTTGATGAAAGAAATGGTCTGCTGACAGTTCTCTTTAAATGGCTTGTTTTAGAATGTACTGTTATGACATCTGATTTTTCTTTTGTAGGTGTTCCCCAGCCATTTCACACAGCAGAGGACCAAAGAGTGCAATGTAGAAAACAGTGAAAATAAGGAGAGGAATATAAAAGTGACTTGTAGCCCTTGTATTACTCCGTCTACCAACAGCGGGCCCAGCAATATTTCTACGGACTTCTGGGACTTGTTAGTTAAATTAGACAACATGAATGTGAGCCGGAAGGGGAAAACCTCTGTAAAGTCTCTGCCTGTGAGCTCTGGAGCCGAAGCAGAAAGCTTGCAGTGCAGTTTGGAGGCCTCACCATTGGGACAGCTCATGAATATGTTGTCTCACCCCGTCATTCGACGGAGTTCGCTGCTTACAGAAAAACTGCTTAGACTCCTCTCCCTTATTTCAATTGCCTTGCCCGATAATAAATTGCCTGATGGTGTAACCAATCAAAGCAACGCAATCACTCCTGCACCTGCCCCCACCCCTGCCACTGCACCAGTACCTCTCCCTGTACCTGCTGTAACTGTGCCCACAGTCATCAATCCAAGTGCAGTATCAAGTGAGTATGGCTTTATCTTTCACACACTAGGTTTGTGCAACGTCAAGGTCATCATTGTATTGTCCACATTCATCCTAGAATCATTATGAATTTAGAGTGTAAAAGGTACCTGTGAGATTTTAACTTGTCTTTCCTTGCCTTTTGTAAAGCTGTGATGAAAAGTATCAAGTCTACAGCAAAGTCAAGCGAGCTCAATGTGCCTGACAAGATGGCAGCTTCTGGGCTCACAGAAAAACAGCTACAGCTTTCTGTTGAGGTGAGAAGTCCTTGTGGGTGATGTGTGAACATTGAGAGGATATACGTTTGAGTATGGCATAGAGCTCTAATGCTGTACCCTCTACCCATAATTAAAAAGTAAGCCTTAAATGCTTTTTATTCCACCGTGATGTTCTGAAAACATGTTGCTAAATGTTAGCTGGCTCTTCTAAATTTACGTATGATTGAAAATTGGGCGCAGCTGCAGAGAATTGACAAAAGTACATAAAACATGTTGAAATCTGGCTTCAGTGGATTATGTAATTATAGAATAGTGTAACATAATACATTTTTTGTTGTTGGGTTTATATACACAACGTACCAGTCCTAACATCTGTTGGCTGCATTATTTTTTTTTTTTTTGTTTTAGTTTTTTTTTTCTCCTTTTTATTTTCACCTGGTCACAGGGTAACAGTGCTCACTTGCTGTACTATGTTTATGTAGGGGCAGAGACGTCGCCCTAGTACAGGACTCCAATAACTTCCCCTTTTCCTCTTCATTATACAGAGGGAGAAGTTTCATGTACTCTCTGGGATATTTTGGAACTAGGGATGCTCCGATACACCCCCCTTTTTTTTTTTTCTATCCCCAGTACGTTTGGTCAAGCACTGTCTGATACCAAGTACCGATGCGTTGCGGTGAGATTTGCGTCTATACAAAATGAATTGGCGTAAATCCCACTGCAAAAGAATGGTATGCGATTTGAACAAAAATACAGAGCCATTCCTGTCCAAATCACATGCGTGATGGTGCTGAGCAGTCACAAGCCATCTAGCCTGTAAGGTCATTCCTGCAAGAAGAGGCGAGGAAGCAGCAGAGTTTTCAAATCCCCAGACCTGTGAAGCGGATTTTAGTTATGTGACATGAGATTGGTGCTGGCAGCTTTCCCGCACCACTCCTGTGTGCACTCGGGCTTTGACAAGCCTGGATTCACATAGGAGTGATGGGCAAACCACATGCAATTTGAACAGGAAATTGTCACATTTTTTGCAGTGGGATCTGCGATTTGCCATTCTTCGTAGTTTGATTTGCGCCAATTTGAAAATTGCACCACAAAGTTTTGGTTTCGGGTACCGGAAGCATTTTTACACATACACCTGAAAATACTCGGTATAGGCACCAATATCGTTATTGGTCCATCCTTACTTGGAACAATGTAACAAATAAAAGTGCAGCACAGGGTGTTGGCTGACAAGGTATCTGGAAGGATCAACAGATATGTTTTTGGACAAACACGACACTTTTATTGGTACAGTATACAGTCAGGTCCATAAATATTGGGACATCGACACAATTCTAACATTTTTGGCTCTATACACCACCACAATGGATTTGAAATTAAACGAACAAGATCTGCTTTAACTGCAGACTGTCAGCTTTAATTTGAGGGTATTTACATCCAAATCAGGTGAACGGTGTAGGAATTACAACAGTTTGCATATGTGCCTCCCACTTGTTAAGGGACAAAAAGTAATGGGACAGAATAATAATCATAAATCAAACTTTCACTTTTTAATACTTGGTTGCAAATCCTTTGCAGTAAATTACAGCCTGAAGTCTGGAACGCATAGACATCACCAGACGCTGGGTTTCATCCCTGGTGATGCTCTGCCAGGCCTCTACTGCAACTGTCTTCAGTTCCTGCTTGTTCTTGGGGCATTTTCCCTTCAGTTTTGTCTTCAGCAAGTGAAATGCATGCTCAATCGGATTCAGGTCAGGTGATTGACTTGGCCATTGCATAACATTCCACTTCTTTCCCTTAAAAAACTCTTTGGTTGCTTTTGCAGTCTGCTTTGGGTCATTGTCCATCTGCACTGTGAAGCGTCCAATGAGTTGTGAAGCATTTGGCTGAATATGAGCAGATAATATTGTCCGAAACACTTCAGAACTCATCCTGCTGCTTTTGTCAGCAGTCACATCATCAATAAATACAAGAGAAGCAGTTCCATTGGCAGCCATACATGCCCACGCCATGACACTACCACCACCATGCTTCACTGATGAGGTGGTATGCTTAGGATTATGAGCAGTTCCTTTCCTTCTCCATACTCTTCTCTTCCCATCACTCTGGTACAAGTTGATCTTGGTCTCATCTGTCCATAGGATGTTGTTCCAGAACTGTGAAGGCTTTTTTAGATGTCATTTGGCAAACTCTAATCTGGCCTTCCTGTTTTTGAGGCTCACCAATGGTTTCCATCTTGTGGTGAACCCTCTGTATTCACTCTGGTGAAGTCTTCTCTCTTGATTGGTGACTTTGACACACATACACCTACCTCCTGGAGAGTGTTCTTGACCTGGCCAACTTTTGTGAAGAAGGGTTTTTTCTTCACCAGGGAAAGAATTCTTTGGTCATCCACCACAGTTGTTTTCCGTGGTCTTCCAGGTCTTTTGGTGTTGCTGAGCTCACCGGTGCGTTCCTTCTTTTTAAGAATGTTCCAAACAGTTGTTTTGGCCACACCTAATGTTTTTGCTATCTCTCTGATGGGTTTGTTTTGTTTTTTCAGCCTAATGATGACTTGCTTCACTGATAGTGACAGCTCTTTGGATCTCATCTTGAGAGTTGACAGCAACAGATTCCAAATGTGAATAGCACACCTGAAATGAACTCTGGACCTTTTATCTGCTCATTGTAATTGGAATAATGAGGGAATAACACACACCTGGTCATGGAACAGCTGAGAAGCCAATTGTCCCATTACTTTTGGTCCCTTAACAAGTGGGAGGCACATATGCAAACTGTTGTAATTCCTACACCGTTCACCTGATTTGGATGTAAATACCCTCAAATTAAACCTGACAGTCTGCGGTTAAAGCACATCTTGTTCATTTCATTTCAAATCCATTGTGGTGGTGTATAGAGCCAAAAATGTTAGAATTGTGTCGATGTCCCAATATTTATGGACCTGACTGTATATAACCAAACAAGAGACCAGCTAAAAGCTGTTTAATCTCGGGGTTTACATACCCTTTAAAGTCTAATGCATTCTGACAGTCTTGGATTTACGGATCGCCCCTATTTGTCTATATTACAAGAGGGTGTGAGGATGCTTTTGATGAGGGCTGGGGCAGTTATTCATCTATGCCAACTTAAAGCAGTGGAGTTGGGAGATCAAGAAATAGATTTTCACCAAAAAAAGTTATTTTAAAGTGAAGTTAAGCAGATTCACAACATATGGTGTTACAGGACCTTAAAGACAAAAAAGGTGTTAGGAGGGAAATGCTTTCTTTAGTTCCGTTTAAAATCAAATTCTCTTGTTCCAGGTGCTGACATCTCATTCATGTTCAGAGGAAGGCTTGGAGGATGCAGCAAATGTGTTGCTACAGTTGTCTAGAGGTGACCCTGGGACACGAGACACTGTACTCAAGCTGCTGCTCAGTGGAGCCCACCATTTAGGCTACACCTTATGCAAGCAGATAGGTAAGCAATAAAGCAAAAGCCTAGACTTCGTTTCTGCAGGACAAACTGACAATATATAACACAATATGTTGTATTTTAAAATGATTTACCCTTGCTTTATCTCTACCAGGTACTCTCTTAGCTGAATTACGGGAGTATAACCTTGATCAGCAGAGGAGAGTACAGTGTGAGGCACTTTCTCCTGATGGGTTACCTGAAGAGCAGCCGCACAACACCAAAGCCAAGGGTAAAATGCAAAGCAGGTGAGTGTTACTCCTAGGGTCATTACTACTTGCCGGTTGCTTATTCATTGTCCAGAGAAATAAAATTTGGTCTGTCAGATCTCATATCACTCTGTCTTCGCAATCTAGGTTTGATATTGCAGAGAACGTTGTTATAGTTGCATCACAGAAACGGCCGTTGGGGGGACGAGAGCTCCAGTTACCCTCAATGTCTATGCTGACATCAAAGACCTCCACACAGAAATTCTTCCTTCGAGTGCTGCAGGTCATCATCCAACTCAGAGATGACACCAGAAGAGCCAACAAGAAAGCCAAGCAGACCAGTAGACTAGGTAGGACCTTCATCTTTTAGCAGGAATACGGTTACCTTGAGGAAAGAATCAGTTTCCATTTTCATTGTAGCCCTTTTTTTCAGTATGGGACTTTGTAGTGTTCAGCGTTTTCAGGAGAGTGGGAGGCTTTCTCATTAGGAGAACCTGCAGCTGCTCTGTTATATGGTCATGATTGTCCAAACTAGATTACCATCCTATCATGTCTTAAGATACCCAATGACAATAGATGGCTTCCGCCTAGCTGTTTTTTTTTTTGTTTGTTTTAATCATTTTGAGATGATCCAAAGTTTTTGGGCAGCAGGTGAACAAGTGTCCCTATGTAACAGTTAAACTGCCACCCGCTTACCCTAAACAGAAGTGCTTGTGGAACTAGCGCCCTTCAGTCTAGGAGAGGGAGTTGCTCAAAATCAAGTCATTCAGATTATGCAGGTGGATTTTGACACTTTATGCTTCATTTGGTAGTCTGTTACTGTCTTTGCTCTCTTTCTTGAGAGGGCTTATTCTGGCTCAAACATACTGTAGCTGTCTGTTTCTAGAAGTGCAGGGGACCCTTTTATTTTTTATGATTTATTACAGGTATTGTATAGACACACACACACACACACACACACACACACCACCACCCCCCCCCCCCCCATGTCACCCAGTTTTTAATAGAAAGTCAGTGGGATAGGTGCCTATACTCCACTGGTATGGTCAGATCTGCAGAGTCTGCAAGATTCATAAGAAGTCATGGAATACTGAAAGCCAGCATGAAGTAGTTTAAACTCCAGCTCTGTGTTGAACCTTTTATGCACAGTTTTTTGCTGTTCAGACTGCAGTACCACACACCTCGGAGTGTGCAATAGAAGCAGCCTATTCTCCAAAAGCAGCTGTTATTGCTTCCATCAGCATCATCCCGGCACTGTCCTGCTCAGCCTGGATTTCAGTGGCTCAGCCCATTTAAGTAATTGGACAGGTGCTCTGTCATTTAAAGCAGGCATCAACCCCCCTCCTCCCTCTCCTTACCCCCCCCCTCCTTACCCCCCCCCCCCCCCCTCTTCACCCCCCCCCCCCCTTCTCACCCCCCCCCCCTCTTTCCTTCTCACTCCACCCCCCCCCTCTTCCTCACCCCCTCCCCCTCTTCTTCTCACCCCCCCCCCTCTTCTTCTCACTTCTCATCCTTCCCCCCCCCCACCTCTTCACCACCCCCCCCACTCTTCTCAACACCCCCCCCACCTCTCTTCCTTCTCACCCCCCCCCCCCCCCACCCCCCCCCCTCCTTCTCACACCCCCCCCCTCTCTTCCTCCTTCTCACCCCCCCCTCTCACCCCCCCCCCTCTTCCTCCTCACCCCCCCCCCCCCTCTTCCTCCTCCTCACCACCCCCCCCCCTCTTCCTCCTCCTCTCACCCCCCCCCCCTCTTCTTCTCACCCCACCCCCCCCCCCCTCTTCCTCCACCCAGACCACGCTATCTGCAGTTCCGACATTGGATCTCCCTTCTTCGCCGCGACTCCGCGTTTCCATTCTGGAAAATGGCCTTTGAGCACATCTGTCAGCACTCTAAATCTACTTACACCTACTCGTGGAACATCCTCCTTGCTCTCACCCATATGTTTCAAAGTGGGAATGTGATATCACATCCTGTATAGATCTGGAGGATTGGAACAAGGCCTGGTCAGCTGTAGCCAAATGTTTAATACCACCACTTTGGAGGCAGCATATAAGGTTTTCCTTCGATGGTATTGGGTCCTGGCTGGCATAGCACACGCAAACCCGTCCTGTGATAATCAATGTTTTAGAGGCTGTGGTCTTCGTGGAGACGAGATTCATATATAGTGGACTTGCCCTCATTTTGTGGGCTTTTGGTTCCGGGCTTACGGTTTTTTTTTATCGTCTATTTCATACTACCTTTTGCAGAGATATAGTACAGATACTGCGGCAGTGCGGCACAGCTGCGCAAAATCACGTATATTTATGTGATTTTGCATATCGGGTAGGGGGTGCTGCGACCGTCCTACCCGTGCCGCCGATCGCGGCCGCGTGTGTCAATCACCGGGTTCCAGCTGCTGGAACCCGGCGATTACCGGCAATCACTGACAGGGCGTTTACACTGCAGCTCTCCTCCCTGTCAGTTTCCAGCGCACTGTTCCGGAGAGCAGCTTTCCCAATCTGTGTTCCTGTGAAGAACACACCCCCGCCCCCTAGTGAAACACTCCCCTCACACAGTTAACCCTTTGCCTAAAAATGTTAACTCCCTCCTCCCCAGTGCCATTAGTACAGTGTCAGTGTTTTTGTTTTTTTTTTTTTCTTGCACTGATCCCTGTATTGGTGTCACTGGGGATGTCAGTGACCCCAAGTCAGTTCCCCCCAGTGTCAGAATGTCTGCCGCAGTCCTGCCATAAGTCGCTGTTCGCCACCATTATTAGTATAAAAAAAAATAAAAATTCCAGTATCTATACCGCTATTTGTAAACGCTATAACTTTCACGTAAACCAATTAATTTACACGTATTGGGTTTTTTTTTTAGCAAAGACATGTCGCAGAATGCATTTTTGCTGAAATTTATGATGAAATTTGATTTTTACATTTTTTTTTACTGGACATGTTTTATTGCAAAAAGTCCAAAATATTGTTTTTTTTTTTTCTCAAAATTGTCGGTCTTTTTTTTTTTTTTTTTTTAAAGTGCAAAAAATAAAAAATGCACAGGCGGTCAAATACCACTGAAAGAAAGCTCAATTCGTGGGGAAAAAAGGATGTAAATTTCATTTGGGTGCAGCGTTGCATGACCACGCAATTGTCAGTCAAAGTAACGCAGCAACGTGTAACAAACCACTTCTGTAACCACTTCCTGACCGCCCTATAGCAGATATACTGCTACAGGTGGCACGGGGGTGCACAAAATCACATATTATATACGTGATTCGTCAATACACCAGTAATCACATTTAACCCCTTGATTGCCAGGAACACGCTCATACACAATAAATCTCCATTGCTAGTATAGTGTCTGAACGGATCAATATCTTTGATCAGATCAGCACTATACCAGCGTACACATTAGTATAGTGTCCCCAAATACGCAGCGTTAGCGGGATTAGCCCCAGCACCTGCGTTTAGCCCCTAGGGGGGTGGGGGGGGGGGGGGGGGGGGGGGGGTGTGTGTGTTGTTTTGTTTTTTATGTGGGGTGGCTATACCAGCCGTACACATTAGTATAGTGTCCCCAAATACGCAGCGTTAGCGGGATTAGCCCCAGCACCTGCCGGTTAAGCCCCTATTGCTTCCCCCCCACCACCACCTTCTCCCCCAGCAAGTGCAGTGTCAGTAGGTCACTGTCACTTGATACATTGCACACAAAGCCGCAGTGTTCGCAGAATCAGGCCTGATCTCTGTTAACACTTGCCGGTAAATTTTGATGACTCTCATATGCAGCAGAGTGCCAGTACTAGTGCCGCGCTACCTTTTGGTGAACTGGCGTGCACCAGAGACCTAGTACATCCTGGTCTTTCACATACCTCAGGGCCCTTCTAACCCTCTTGTATTGTTGCTCTATTGTCTCCCATTCTATTGTAAAGCGCTGAGCAAACTGTTGGCGCTATATAAATCCTGTATAATAATACCAGCACTGCAGTATGACGTGGCAAGTCCCATAAGTGCAGTACAAGCTGATGCGGTGATGAGCACAAGTATTGTCCCACAACCACCAAGAATTCGCACACAGGCCCATAGAGCCACTAGTATCCTTCCGGACGTGCTTGCAAATCCTGATTGGCAGACCACAGATTCTGCAGCACCCGTACTTCCCCCATTCACTGCCCCCAACCCGGAATTCTGGTGAAAACAGCAAATTTAACTATTCCCCTTGATTTTTTGGAGCTGTTTTTTCACAGAATATCTGTATGCGTTGATTGTGGATCAAAGTAATTTATATGTACAAAACAATTTTTCGCGGCCAACCCAAATTCAAACCTTGCCAGACCATTCGAATAGAAACTCATTACAGTTTCCGAATTTAAAATTTTTTGTTTTTTTTTTTTTTTTTGGACCTAACCCTCAACATGGGCATTACTAAAAAAAAAATGAATTGCGGTTGTATTGGTCCACAGACCCGATTCATTATATGCCCGTGTTCTCTGCTGCCATGGCCAGGCATAGATATGAGAGTATAATGCGTTTTATGCATTTCAATGACAATACACTCTGTCATCCTCGGGGTAACCCTGAATTTGACCGTCTCCACAAAATAAAGCCTCTCGCACCTTAACCAAAAATTTGCAGATTTCTATATACTCCACAAGAAAAAAATCTGCATTGATGAGTCCCTTTTTCTGGCCGCCTTGCATTCAAACAATTTCTCCCCAGCAAGCGTGCCAGATATGGGGTCAAGATGTAGAAGACCTCTGAGAGGACAACAGGCTATACTTATAAGTTTCGGATTTACGAGGGAAAAGATAGTCACATGGAGCCCCCTGGATGCCCAGACTACATGGGGAGCAGTGGCAAGATAGTTTGGGACTTGGTGTCATCCTTTTTTTCCATATGCGGTACCACTTATACATGTTTATTCAAGCGTGCCACTATTGAGACATTTGTACAATCTTGGAAATGGCGCATGTGGCACTATGTGACCTAATGTGTGCCCACCAATAGAAGTGGGTGGATGCAGGGCGGTATATTCTAATGGTTGGAATACCACACACTCTTTCTGGCAGATATTTCTTCTCCTTTTCATTCAGTCCACAGGCTGCATACAAAAAAAAAACAGCATATATACCCAACAAGTACATCACTGGACTTTGAATGGTTATACCAGGATGATGCCTACAGCTGCAGGCATCATCCTGGTATAGTTTTGTTCAGCCGGCGATCGGCTTTCATGTAAAAGCAATCCTAGTGGCTAATTGGCTGCAGGATTGCTTTTACAAGCAGCGGGAGATGATGCCCCCACTGCCTTCCACGGCCTTCTCGGTCAGTTGGGAGCCATCGGGGAACCTGAGAATGCAGCCGTGTTTTTCTGCCAGCTGACCATAGAGCTGATTGGAGACCAAAATGGTGCCAATCATCTCTTTGTAGGATATAAACAGCGCCATTTGTAAATTGTGAAAGCATCTGATCACACCGATTTTGGTTTGATTAGATAATGTAAGGGTAGAGGAGATATCTAGAGTCTGATGGACCCCAGATCTCTGAAAAAAGAATATATGACAATGCTCATTGAAGTTATAGGGGATATTTGCATTCCCTGTGATAGCATTAAAAGTGATCAAAAAAAAATTAAAGGGACAATGTAAAAATAATTAAAAAAAAAAAAAAAAAAAAAATCAAAATAACTTTAAAAAAAAAACTCCTCCCCCCCATACCCCCCCCCCCCCCCCCCCCCGCAGACCTGTGTGCACGAGCGTTGACCCTGTGCTGGTATGTAAGCAGTAGTTGCACCATGCATGTGTGAGGTATCGCTGTGAACATCACATCAAGGGCAGTGATTGTAATAGACTTCCTCTGTAAATCTAAAATGGTAGCTTGTAGAGGCTTTTAAAACGTTGCCTATGCATAATAAAAATGTATGCAGTTTGTCACCATTGCACGGGGCATGCTCCGTTTTAAATCAGGTCATGTTTGGTATCTATTTACTTGGCATACCATTATCTTTTATATTTTACCAAACAATTGGCCAATATATTGTGTTTTTGTGCATTAAAAGTAAAACAAAAGTGTATTTTCTTTTATTTTTTTTATTTGCTTTTGAAAAATCGCTGCATGAGTACTATGTGACATAAAAAATTGTAGCACCCACCATTTTATTGACCAGGTGTGTTTGCTTTAAAAAATATATATAATGTTTGGAGGTTTCAATTAATTTCCTAGCAAGAAATAACGATTTTTTTTTTTCATGTGAACAAAAAGTGTCAGAAAAGGCTTGATCTTCAGGTGGCTAGAAGAGTGAGTGATTTGTGGCATAAACTTCTAATGCTGGGCATAGAATGCCCCCAGCCCCCAAAACGACCCCTTTTTGGAAAGTAGACACCCCAAACTATTTACTGAGAGGCATGTTGAATCAATAGAATTTTTTTGGAAAATGACATATTTTTTTTGTTTTTTACACAAAATTGTCACTTAAATGATTTATTGCTCACACATGCCATGGGTATATGTGGAATTACTCCCCAAAATACATTCTGCTACCGAGAGTATGGGGGGTACCACATGTGAGAGACGTTTTGGCAGTGTAGCCAAGTACAGGACCCCAAAATCTAATAATCACCTTCATGCTTTTAAAGGGCTTTATTTCCTCATTACACTTCCTGACTACCTTTCACAGTTTCGGAGGCCCTGAAATGTCAGGGTAGCACCTAACCCCCCCAAATGACCCCTTTTTGGAAAGTAGACACCCCAAGGGATTTGATAAGAAGCATGGTGAGTATTTTGCAGATCTTGTTTGTTGCCACAAGTTTTTGGAAAATTAAGAAAAACATCTTTTTTTTTTTCTTTTCTTTTTTTAGATTTCAAAACATTGTGAGAAAAAATGCAAAATACTCACCATGCCTCTTTTTAAATTCCTTGGGGTGTCTAATTTCAAAAAAAGTGGTCATTTGGGGGGGCTGTTTGGTGCTATCATGACATTTCAGGGCCTCCGAAACTGTGATAGGTAGTGAGGAAGTTACGCACCTTCAGGCTTTCAAAGTGGTCATTGGATTTCAGGCTCCTGTATGTGGCTAGGCTCCCAAAAAGTCTCACATGTGGTATCCCCATACTCGGTAGAAGTAGCAGAATGTATTTTGGGGTGTAATTCTACATATACCCATGGCTTGTGCGAGAAATAAATCATGTAAATGACAATTTTGTGTAAAAAAAAAAAAAAAAAAGTTTGTCATTTTCCAGAAACTTGTTGAAAAAAAATAAATCTGTCATGGATTCAATATGCCTTTCAGCAGATAGCTTAGGGTGTCTACTTTCCAAAAAGGGGTCATTTGGGGGTATTTGTACTATCCTGGTATTTTAGCACCTCAAGAAATGTGATGAGCAGTCAAAGTAAAAGCTGTGTAAATTCCATTATCTATACCAGCAATGGGCAAACTACGGCCCGGCGGACCTTTTAATCCGGCCTGAGGAGCTAGGCTCCCGCTAGGCTCCTCTCACAGTCCGCCCTGAAGACCGGTGTAGCATGAAAATCTGTCTCCTATGAGGATCTGTCCCCCTCGACGTATCTGCGCATGTGCCGGAGATCGCCGATCGGCTGCTAATGCCTGAAACTGGCACATGCGCAGATACGTCGAGGGGGCAGATCCTCATAGGAGACAGATTTTCATGCTACACCGGAACGGCGCGGGAACACGGCGAGAGGAACGCGCGGAGAAAAGGTAAGTGAATTGACACAGGGGGGACTTGGGGACTTAATATGGAGGATGAATTACTATAGGGATGAATTACTAGATTGGGGATGAATTACTAGATTGGGGATGATTTACTAGATTGGGGATGACTTACTAGTTTGGGGATGAATTACTCTATGGGGGATGAATTACTCTATGGGGGATGAATTACTATATGGGGGATGAATTACTATATGGGGATGAATTACTATATGGGGGGTGAATTACTATGCTTACTATGGGGGAATATTACTATACTTACTATGGATGACACATACACATCATTCATCTACTCTTGGTCCGGCCCCCGGGTCCAATATATGAACCCCATTGCGGCCCTCAAGTCAAAAAGTTTGCCCACCCCTGATCTATACCATAGTTTGTAGACGCTATAACTTTCACACAAAGCAATCAATATACACTTATTGGGATTTTTTTTTTTAACCAAAAACATGGAGCAGAATACATTTTGGCCTAAATTTATTGCGAAATGTTAGGTTTTTTTGGATTTTTTATGATTGAAATGAGAAAATAGTTTTTTTTTTTCCAAAATTTTTTTGTTTATAGCGCCAAATATAAAAAGCACACAGGTGATCAAATACTACCAAAAGAAAATCTCTATTTGTGTGAAAAAAAGACATAAATTTCATTTATGTACCATATTACATGACCGCGCAATTGTCCGTTAAACTAGCGCAGCGCTGTATAGCAAAAAAATGGCTTAAATTGCAGTATTTATACCATAGTTTGTAGACGCTATAACTTCCACACAAACCAATCAATATATACTTATTGGGATTGTTTTTTTTTTACCAAAAAAACATAGAATACATTTTGGTCTAAATTTATAACTATGAGTTTTACTATATATTTTTTATAGCCGGAAGTAAAAAATATAGTTTTTCTTCAAAAATTTTGGTCTTTTTTTGGTTTATAGTGCGAAAAATAAGCGCACAGGTGATCAAATACCACTGAAAGAAAGCTCTATTTGTGTGAAAAAAAGGACGTAAATTTCATACGGGTGCAACATTGCATGACCGCGCAATTAGTTGAATTAGTGCAGCGCGGAGTAGCAAAAAGAGGCCTGGTCATTAAGGGGGGTAAATCCCCTGGATGGCAAGTGGTTAAGTTTTTAAAAAAAACAAAAGAAAACTAATAATCATTGTACCAGAAAATATTCTATATATCAAAAATGGCACGTCTGGCGTTCAAAAAAAAATTTTTTTTTTTTTTTTTTTTTTATGTGCCTGGAGTTTTTTTTCCTCCCTCTCTCGTTTACTAAGCTTGCTGGAATTTTTTGTTAGGATTTGTTTTTTTTTTTTACAAAGTTGACCATAGTTTTGTGATTACTTACTGTCATTCTCTTCTTGCAGGAGCTGCCAGTCTGGCCTCTGCTAGCAGCATCCAGGCAGCTGTGCAGCAGCTGGAGGCTGAGGCTGATGCCATTATACAAATGGTACGTGAGGGTCAAAGGGCGCGGAGACAGCTGCAAACTGCAACGGTTAGCATGATGACTGGCGCTGGCAGAACATCCATCCTTAGTTTGTTCCTCCCTGATTTTTGTTTTGTCTGACATGTTTTTGCTTTTTCAGCTTTTAAGTTGCTTGCTTACAGACTGATTATCCATTACATGTACATTTCTCGTTTGTACAGTGTATATTTTTTTTTTTTGTCAGTCTTTGCATGTTTCCCATAGTTCATAGTGGCATTGAAGCATCTTGCTTTCCAAATATTTGTTGAATGCACGACTTATACAGTGTGCTGTTGCTGTATGTTGCTTCTTCTGCTGTAACGCTTTGCTCACCTTCCTCCCCCTTGTGTTTCACCCCAAAAGCGTTAAACCTCCTTCTGACACGTCTTTGTCTTGTTTAGGCGGAAGGCTCTGCGCGCAGGGAGGAGTCTCCAATGGATGTTGACCAGCCTTCACCTGCTACACAGGATACTCAGTCAGTTGGTCAGTGTAAAACCAGTGGGTGGGCCTGGATTGTTTTGGGGTCTGTGAAGTTGAGGGAAATGTCTTCATCTGTCGGATTCTGAGTATTTCTTATCACCTAGGTTCCGAAGCGTCTCAAGCTGCAGAGAAGAAAGAGGATGAGAGGTTGCCAGAACTGCCATTGCTGAGTGAACAGCTGAGCTTGGATGAACTGTGGGATATGTTAGGAGAGTGTTTAAAAGAGTTGGAGGAGTCACATGACCAACATGCTGTACTAGGTATTAAATGGCATCATGCACAATCTACTCTAAATTGGCCTGTGTCAATAGGCTTTTTTTTCTCATCGGATGGGTTCTGAATTCCTCTCACAAGGCTGCAAGAGCTCAAAACTCGCTTACAGTCGGTCACAAGGAGGTAGGCTGGAGGTAAAATGCACCTGTTAATGAATTCTAAATGATCTTGGAAGTATCTCAAACTAATGCCATGGACACAGGCTCAATTTGAGGTATCGGAACTCCGTAAGTCTAGGTTCACACCTATGCGTTTTCCGTTGCGTTTTGCAGAAACACATAGCAGTCCATATAACGTGATTTCCTATGGGACACGTTCACATCTCTGCGTTTTTTCACCCGAAGCATTTTTTGGAAAGGGCTAGGGAATTTTTTTAAATGCAAAATGTTGCATTTTTGATTCTATAGACTTCAATGGAGATGCTACAGAATAGCATGTAGTGTGTTTTTTTGACGCATTTGGGTTGTAATCTGCCCAGCAACAAGTTGGAGAGAAAAAAAAATGAAAACCTTTCAAATAAGCACTGCAGAAACGGATCAAACGCAAAGTGCATAGGTGTGAACCTTGCCTAAGAGAACATAAATATGCAAATCTCCAGACCGTAAAAACATAATTATAAAGACTATAATTTGCCTAAAGTTAAGTGCTGCATTGTTTAGATCTGTATTCCTAAACTGCATGCATGCAGCACTAAAGGATATGTCTCTGTCTGTCTGTTTTCTCTTCTCAGTACTTCAGCCAGCTGTTGAAGCCTTTTTCTTAGTCCATGCAACAGAACGAGAAAGCAAGCCACCTGTACGGGACACTCGGGAAAGCCAGCTGGCTCACATTAAAGATGAGCCTCCTCCTTTGTCCCCAGCACCTCTCACCCCAGCAACGCCTTCTTCCTTAGATCCCTTTTTTTTCAAGGGAACCCTCATCTATGCACATCTCATCCAGTTTGCCTCCTGACACACAAAAGTTCCTGCGCTTTGCAGGTAAGGCCCAGTGAAACATGCAAATTCCTAGCCGTTTTGTAACATAGCAAAAACTCTTGGAAATGTTGCCAAGTTTAGCATTCGCTGTAAATGTATTCGTGTTACATTTTGTACAAAGCATCTCTCTCACCCTTCTCTTCCTGCTGCTTATTTTGGTCATATGCTGAAATGTGAAATTTGAAAATTGAAAGCCTGTGATTCCACTCTTTCCTTTGTCAGCAGTTGACATTCTAGGACAATTTCCCCAGCCACCAACCGATTCAGACTTTTCTTCCTCCTTTCATTTGGCCGCGCAATATAAATGTGTGTGCTTAAAAGATACAAAATCTGTTGCTGTACAAGTTTACTGTTTGTTTTTACCCAGAACGTTAATATTAGTCAGAATAAATGTTTGCTGTGCTGTCCCTCAGAGCACATAATGTTCCCAATAAAAGAGCCTTCTTTGATTACATCTTTCCAGCTTTGAACGAAATGTCTGCCGTTCACTTATCTTCTCATCACTTGTCCTTTCTTATCCTCTTCAGAGACTCATCGCACTGTGTTAAATCAGATCCTCCGTCAGTCGACAACTCATCTAGCTGATGGACCTTTCGCTGTTCTTGTCGATTATATCAGAGTCCTAGACTTTGATGTCAAACGCAAGTATGTATGATTAAGTCTATTATTACTTTTGTGCTAGCTACTTTTTTTTCAGTTATTCTCTATTAACATATTTCACTAATTATTCTTATTCATCTCTCTAAAAAGATATTTCCGCCAAGAACTTGAGCGGTTAGATGAAGGACTGAGGAAAGAGGACATGGCTGTGCATGTCAGACGAGACCACGTGTTTGAAGATTCTTACCGGGAACTGCACCGTAAATCCCCAGAAGAAATGAAGAACAGATTGTAAGTGCCACAGGAAGGTCTAAACCTGTTATCTGTGTCATTGTCTTTCAATCTTCTTTTTGTCAGAATGAATCTACAGAGAGTAATAACTCTGGACAGTGAGGGAAAGTTTAGAACCTCTTGTCAGGTTTTTGCTTTCTTCCCTCTGGGGCAGACATCACTTCAATTTTTGTCCCAGTGGAACAGGAATTGAAAGAAAATCTTTCCCCATGTGATGGGAAATCCCACAGATCGCTGCTATAAACCAGAAAAAAATTGGAGATTTTCCTCTGCCTAGTTTTAGCACTCTAAAACTTTTTCCCATCACTTTCTATGCCAATTACAGTGGTTGCCAGGACAGAAAGTGAGTGACTCAAACTGGGGAACAGAGCTAAAATATAGGGTCTATAACCCTTCCCCACTCTTTCCAAATGTTGTGCCTGAAGTTTTACTCTGAATCAATTTGCCATTTCTACTGTAGTTTATAGAGCTTAACGCCAAGGCTGGCTTTACACAATTTGCTTTTGATAATGCACTTCAAGTACATTGCAGTGACATTTTAAATCTGTGTTGCAGTGCACTGCATTGTACAGTAATACAGGACTGCATTGCTTTGTGCTGCATCTGAAATAGAAGAGAGGATTTTTTTTTTTTTTTTTTTACGTTGTGTTAGCAGATCACTAAAATCATGCATGTTATATGCAGCATAATCACAGTGCGCTAGATCAGACAAATGTGACGGGGCCCCAGAAAAAAATGGCAAACTTAAACTGAGTAAATGCAGGTGTTAAAATGTCCAGCCTCCTATACAAATAAGTTAAACCTGAGGAACTTTGGGAGCCATGTGATTTCATGGTAAAAAATCTCTAGTTTCGTTTAAGTGTCCCAAATTGTGTCTTAGCCAAAACTCAATGTAAAGGATACAAAGTGTCTGGGTTTTTTTTTTCTTGTCTGTGTCCTTTTTGGGTTCTTCTTATTGCGGTGTCACCACTGAGGAAATATGCCCAATGGTGTCACAGCAATTAATGTGCTGTAGGCTCTAATTCTTCCTTACTCCATCCTAAATTAAATCTAAAATAAACCTAAAATTTCCCAGTAATTTTGTTTACAGCATGTTTAGTGCAGGCGGTGGCTTAAAAGACTAGAAGTACTCGCTGTGTGAAATTGGTGGGACAGGTAGTACTGTAGTGTACAAGGAAACATTGATAAATGAGTAAATTGAAGAGCAACATATAAGAAAAGAAATGATCACCTAATCCAAGAAATATTGGCAGTATACTCCAAGGGGTTTGATCAGCACAGAAATGTGGTAATTCACAAGTGGTGTGGGATATACAGTGAAGGAGATAAGTATTTGATCCCCTGCTGATTTTGAATGTTTGCCCACTCACAAAGAAATGATCGGTCTAAAAATCGAATGGTAGGTGTATTGTAACACCGAGAGACAGAATAGCAACAAAAAAAATCAAAAGAAATGCATGTCTAACATGATGACTGATTTGCATGTTCATGAGAGAAATAAGTATTTGATCCCCTATCATTCAGCAGGATTTCTGGCTACCAGGTGTCTTTCATACAGGTAACAAGCTGAGATTAGAAGCAGTCTCTTAAAGGGAGTGCTGCTAATCTCATTTTGTCACCTCTATAAAAGACATCTGTCCACAGGAACTATCAAACAGATTCCAAACTCTCCACAGTGGCAAGGACGTCAGGGACAATATTTTAGAGCTACACAAGGCTGGACTGGGCTACCAAACTATCACCAAGCAGCTTGGTGAGAAGGTGACAACAGTTGGTGCAATCATTCACAAATGGAAGAAATACAAAACAACTGTCAGTCTCCCTAGGTCTGGTGCACCATGCAAGATCTCACCTCGTGGAGTGCCAATGATCATGAGAACAGTGAGGAATCATCCCAGAACTACACGTGAGGATCTTGTCAATGATCTCCAGGCAGCTGGGACCACAGTCACCAAGAAAACAATTGGTAACACACTACGCCAAGGATTGAGATCGTACAGTGCCCGCAAGGTCCCTCTGCTCAAGAAAGCACATGTCCAGGCCCGTCTGAAGTTTGCCACTGAACATCTGAATGATGCAGAGGAGGACTGGTTGAAAGTGTTGTGGTCAGATGAGACCAAAATCGAGCTGTTTGGCATCAACTCAACTCGCCGTGTTTGGAGGAGGAGGAGGAGGAATGCTGCCAATGACCCCAAGAACACCATCCCAACTGTCAAACATGGTGGTGGAAACATTCTGCTTTGGGGGTGTTTTCCTACTAAGGGGACAGGACAACTGCACTGCATTAAAGAGACGATGGATGGGGCAATATCAAATCTTGGGTGAGAACCTTCTTCCCTCAGCCAGAGCATTGAAAATGGGTCGTGGATGGGTGTTCCAGCATGACAATGACCCAAAACACACAGCCAAGGAGTGGCTCAAGAAGAAGCACATTAAGGTCCTGGAATGGCCTAGCTAGTCTCCAGACCTTAATCCAATTGAAAATCTGTGAAGGGAGCTGAAAGTTCGAGGTGCCAAACGTCAGCCACCAAACCTTAATCACTTGGAGAGGATCTGCCAAGAGGAGTGGGCCAAAATCCCTCCTGAGATGTGTGCAAACCTGGTGGCCAACTCCAGGAAACGTCTGTCCTCTGTGATTGCCAACAAGGGATTTGCCACCAAGTACGAAGTCATGTTTTGTGAAGGGGATCAAATACTTATTTCCCTCATGAACATGCAAATCAGTGCATCATTTGTTAGACATGCATTTCTTTTGAATGTTTTGTTGCTATTCTGTCTCTCTGTGTTACAATACACCTACCATTCGATTTTTAGACTGATCATTTCTTTGTGAGTGGGCAAACATTCAAAATCAGCAGGGGAGCAAATTACTTATTTCCTTCACTGTATGGCCTTTGTAGCCATATTGGCTTATATAGGAAATGCTTAGAAGAAGAGGTAGAATGTTCCTTTAAATACAGGAGAACAGAATTAGAGTGATGAAGTAGGGAGAAGGGGAAAAAGAAGGCAATTGAGGAATGAAGAGGAAAGGGAGGTTTTTGGGGGGATAGGGCAGGGAGAAGTCCTGGGGAATTGGCAGCACCTCTTCATAATCAGCTAGCAATGAGCTGTCGAGTAATGGGGGGTGGGAGTAGATTATCCAGGGTTGCCCCATGTTGGGAAATGTGTTATGGGTGCCTGCAAATAAAGCTTTTGTTGTGTAAGGCAGCCCATAGATTTGTTTTTGTTTTTTCGTTCAACCAGCGGGTTGAATGAAAAAAAAAATGACTCAATTTCCACATCCACACACTTTGTGAATGGGGGAATCCTCCACACTGAACAATTGTATTCTGATAGTCATAGCTGGAAGCGCTCATCGAACAGGGAGAAGCTAGTTGCACTGAAATTGATTGTTAAAACTTCCTCCTAGATCGTAAGCTCCCAGGATCAGGGCCCTTTGTTTCCTCTTGTACCAAATTGTATTGTAATTGTAATGTCTGCCTTCAGCAAAGCGCTCCGCAAACTGTTGGCGCTGTATAAATCCTGTATAATAATAAATTAACTTTTATACAACTCAGCCCATACATGGATCGAAATTCAGCCAGTCCCTGCTGAACCCGGACAAATTTTGATCCATGTATGGCCAGCCTGCCTGCTTAAGTTAAGGTGAGTTCATTAAAATGTAACAGCCTTCCACTTAAATGGTGCTTTTTTGCTTCCTGGTAATGTCTGTAAAGGTGAATGTGTTACTTGCATCATGGAGTGCTCATAAAGCATGTTTTTTCCCTCTGTATAGGTATATATAGTATTTGAAGGGGAAGAAGGTCAGGATGCTGGAGGACTCCTCAGAGAGTGGTACATGATCATCTCCAGGGAAATGTTTAATCCCATGTACGCCCTATTCCGCACATCTCCTGGGGACCGTGTCACCTATACAATTAATCCCTCCTCCCACTGCAATCCCAACCACCTCAGCTATTTCAAGTTTGTTGGTAGAATTGTTGCAAAGGCAGTGTACGACAATAGGTTACTGGAGTGCTACTTCACACGGTCCTTCTACAAGCACATATTGGGCAAATCAGTCAGGTATGTATTAACAACATCATGTTAAGCGATTTCTTCAGCGATATGTCTTGATTGTTGCATTTTTCACAATGTGTTAATGACTTTGTACGTGCACACTGCGGCTTCATTCATTCCTGTTGGGAAAGTTGTACTCTGAAGGACCACTCGAGGCCGCCGTGTGTATGGCTCCCAAAAGGAATGAATAGGGGCCACAGCACAAACTACAGTTTCTGTAGTTGATTGAGTTAATTTTTCTCTGTATCACAAATGTACATAATCCACATTCTTTCTTATATATCCAGCAACCTGTATATTGGTTCATGTAATCTACACTAAAAAGTCAAAGAAGTAAATGCAGATTTTTTTTTTTTTTTAAATATTTGCTTTCAAGACCTGTGCTTCAAAATCTGTTTTTTCACTACACACAGGGGTTGATTTACTAAAACTGGAGAATGCCAAATCTGGTGCAGCTCTGCATAGAAACCAATCGGCTTCCTTTTTTTTTTTTCTTTTTTTTTTTTTTTTTTTTTTTTTTTCTTTTTGTCAAAGCTTAACTGAACAAGCTGAAGTTAAAAGCGGATTAGCTACCATGCACAGCTGCGCTAGATTTTGCACTCTCATTCTAGTAAATCGACCTCTTATATAGTGAGAAATACTAGACGCTGTTTCAACAACACAACTTTTACCTTGCAGATACACTGACATGGAGAGTGAGGATTATCACTTCTACCAAGGATTAGTCTACCTGCTTGAGAATGATGTCTCCACACTGGGATATGATTTGACATTCAGCACTGAGGTAATATATATTTTTGTATGTGGGGTCAAGTCTTCACGGGATCTATAGGTTGCATCCTTAGTCTCCACCTCAGCTGTTGCTGCTCTTTACATTCCCGTTTTCTCTGTTTAGGTCCAGGAATTTGGTGTGTGTGAAGTGCGTGACCTGAAGCCCAATGGTGCAAATATTCTTGTCACAGAAGACAACAAAAAGGAATATGTCCACCTTGTGTGCCAGATGAAGATGACAGGTAAGGAGTTGGGTAAAGTGTTTGCAGTCTGAGGTGTAGCTGTGCCTTATAAAGCTAGCACTGAAAGTATGTAAAGGAAAACCAGTCATGCGATAATGAAAGTTTACCATCATTGCTCTTTATTTGAAGTGCTAGTGTCTTAATTGTACATCACAGGGGTGGTTCTTATTCATGACTGGGGTATCCTGTCACATACAGGTGAATGTTGAGGCCTCAGCCTTTTTTTTTTTTTTTTTTTTTTGCCTTAGACAGTGACTCTCCACCTGAACCAGTAGATTTATTTCAATCCAAAACACCCTAAGGAGGAGTAGATTTTTCATTCCTTGGATGTGACCCACACTGTGCGGGCATACCTGAAGTCTATGGCTGGGTTTCGGCTATCTAATTCCCCGTTAGTTCTGTCTGAATGGCCTCATAAAAGAGACTGCTTTCCTGCTCACAATTTCTCAGATTTGGCAATTGTTTAGGCCTGCGGCATTAAGGACATGGCTCTTCCTTTTCCAGTCCAGACCCATTGCACCAGGAGTGTCAGTGCTTCCTGGGCAATTTCAGCATCAAGCTTCCGCTGTTTGTAAGGCTTCAGCTGGTCTTCTGTTCACACATTTTAACCTGGTAAATATTTTAGCTTCTGCAGATGCCACGGTTAGACAGAGGGTCCCCCGCAGGTGGCTCTGTAGTGGGATTTCCACTGTTCTATTTTGTGGTTTTGAGCTTGTTGCTGTGTTGTTCACCTCTCTTATCTTGTGCTTTGGAACATCCCGGGTAGTCATGAATAAAAAGAAACCCCGTGTCCTGTGATGTACAATTAAGTTAGGATTTTTGGTTTACCTGTAAAATCCTTATACCATAGAACACGGGATCCTTCCTCTCTAGAATTGTTCCTCATTGCTTGCTTCAAAACTGTGGCTGTGCAGGGAAGCCTGCTTTTTTTTTTTTGGCCAGTGTCTATTCAGCTGTAGATGGCAACGTAACCCAAGTAGTCATGATTAAGAAGAAACCCTTTGTCCTGTGATGCACTCCAAGTAAAGGATGTTACAGGTAAACCAAAAATCTTTATTTCCTGGCTGTCATATTTTCAGTGCTTCATTTTTTAGTATATACGTTTCGGATATAACGCGCAAAAAGAATTGATGTCTGACAACCAAGCAGCAAGCAATTTTTAGGAGGCCAGGATTTGGGGCCCCATTTTTCTCTCATGGCAGAGCCACTTAAACAGGGTTAAGGAGCAGGTGTGTGTTCCACATAATAGTTGTCTGTCTGCATGTCAGTGTAGCCAAGGAAGAAAACCTGTATTAAGGCATTTGTAAGTTATAATTCTGATCTCCCAAAAATTGGTGTACCTATTTGTCTTCAGTCCTTTGAATCCCTCTCCCAGATGGTGAATTTGGACTTTGTTGGTTGCATGCTTTGCCCAGGTCTGTGGTTTAGGAAGTACTGAAGCCAGAGACAACCAAACAGCTACCATTTATGAAAGGAGGGTCAGCCTTGGCAGGCTTCGTATTTTGCTCAGTGCTGACTTCATATAATGGGCCTTTGTGTTAGAATGCACATGACCAATGTGTATTACGTACCTTTGTTTTCTGCTTCCAGGTGCCATCCGCAAGCAGTTAGCTGCTTTCCTGGAAGGTTTCTATGAAATTATCCCCAAGCGTCTCATCTCCATCTTCACAGAACAGGAACTGGAGTTATTAATATCTGGGTTGCCCACTATAGACATCGATGACTTGAAATCCAACACCGAGTATCACAAGTACCAATCTAATTCAATCCAGGTGAGTTCTTTTCCTAATGCAGGGCTAACAAGCAGTATATTTTCTTCCAGACACAAGACTTTCATTTCATTAAAGCTAGAAATAAAAATTAGTCTTTGCCCAGCATCTTTCAACATTCTTCCTCTGAACATTGCTACAAGGGCCAGCCCATGACATCCTAAGCATGCATGTAACTGTGTCTAGTAAGAAAGTAGACTCTGTTTGGATGACTTCTTTCAGCACAACTATATGCTTCAAGCCTATATTTGAAAAGGGAGATTATAGCTCCACTGCTGGTTGGATTGGAGACTACATAAATTTTCATGTTTACCTTAGAAAACGTGGAGCAGTATGCAATTGTATTTGTTATAAGCCTAACTCCATGCTTCTTTTGACTTTAAACAGTTTTGTGTGGACCAAGCTGGTCCAAATGAACCAAGAGATGCGTTTGCTGGGAGCACTGTATAAACTGTATGTACAATCAGCTACATATAGCGTACAGCACTGTGTTCTAGCAGCAGGACAAGGACTTCCCGTCCCATTCCTATTCCTAAGTAGTTGGGCTGAACACTTAAATTTTTAGGAACTGTTGTTTCTCTAATCTAAACTCTGATACCTTGAGGTTTTTAATTTTCAAAATGTCAATTCTTTTTGGTTGTTCATAAAATGACTTGTAATGCAGGACAGGTTGGGTAAAACACATGAACTGACTGTAATATATTTATCATTTCTTTTTAAAGATTCAATGGTTCTGGAGGGCGCTGCGCTCTTTTGACCAAGCAGATAGAGCCAAATTTCTTCAGTTTGTCACTGGAACCTCCAAGGTACCTCTTCAGGGCTTTGCAGCACTTGAGGGGATGAATGGCATCCAAAAATTCCAGATACATCGAGACGACAGGTCCACAGACAGGCTGCCTTCTGCTCACACGTGGTAAGAAACACAGTACATTATATTCCGGTACTGTAAGGTGTTCATACATTCACAATCCATGCAGCACCACAGAATATAGCTCCGTGGGGGTGGTGTAGTCACATTTCACAGATGAGAGGAAATCCTTGTTAATTTATTACATCCGGTATTTATTAAGATACTGTAAAAAAGTGTTGAGGGGGTGAGACAAGTAACCATCTGCCAAGCATGCATGTAAATTACCTTCATATAACATTTATTTGAAAGCTGAATGAAGCTTTATGTGGAGTAGGGTTATATGTGTATTTGTGGGCAGAACATGCTTCAAAAAACTTAACTCCTGCTCCTTGCTCTTCTGTATATAAACATTCCAGTGAAGGGTGCCCCATGCAAAGGACAAGTCAATATAAGTTATGTTTGCAGCTTCAGCACCCTATGGAGATTGCGCAGATCTCCAGTAGGGAGTGGGCTCAACAAAAACTTGGCCATTGATCAAATCATGGGTACGATTAACCCATCAACTGCCACAATTGTAGCTCTGTTATGGCAGAACAGTGAAAAAGATGAAAACCTGTTGGGTTTGTTTTCTTATAATTATGCCTGTGGGTAAGTCTCAATGAAGAATTGATCTGGGCAACTATATAGTTTTTCTGGTCACTTCTGCATGTGAGTGTGTGGCTGCGTAGATGGGATGACCTGTCTGGTCAGCCCCTTGTGATACTAGTACATAGAAAAAAGTAAATACTGTATGTAGAAAAATAAAATTTAATAAATCAGTAAATGAAATGATAAACCTTCCCCTACACACACGTGCATACACAGTCAGAACGCACGCATATTATGAAGTACACATCCCTGCACACGGCAGTGGTGGAAGAATGATTTTAAGGCTGCTAATTTAGTATAACACTGAATTAATGGACGTTCATTTTAATGCATGTTCATTTTTCTATTTCACAAACACGCATGCTTTTTATTTTAGTAGTAATTGTTATTTTTCAGGCTGACACTCTCTCACCTGTCACTGACTTTAAGGCCCAGGGTCTTGAGAGATCGGGGACTCTCAGATTCGGTTTTTCGTATACTTTTTAAAGGCTAGGAAAGGGACTTCTTGGAAGATTTACCACAGTGCATTGAAATCTTTTGTCTGGTGTGAGGATTTGTGCCTTCTTCCTCTGTATTTTATGGGTGGTGGCATCCTGGCTTTTCTCCAATCTGTTTCCACTCGAATCCAAACCCTGATCAGCTACAAAGGTCAGATGTCGGCCTTGGTGATCTTGTTTCAGAGACCAAATGCCTCACATTTTATGCTTTTGTGCAAGGGGTCACGTGTATTGTTCCTCAGTCAAGACTCCAATGACACCTTGGGATCTTACTTTGGTGCTTTCTGTATTAAAGAAATCTCTTTGAATCCATACAGGAGAGTCCCATAGTCCTTTGGTTTTGTTGTCTGGGGCCTGTTAAAGGATCATTTCACCTTTGTAAACAGGTTACATGTTACACCCTAAATATGGGTGTAACATTATCACCATCTGCCTCCTCTTCCCCTGATCTTCTCCCCGCACCCGCTGTCAGAATTCAAAGAGTGTGGCTGTGTGTGGCTCTGCCCATATGGCCACGTCATTCATTCACAGAGTTCTGTGAATGAATTCGAGTACCGTCATCCATTGCTGCTGGCGGCTTGTACTTCTCAATGGCTCAATGTTGCCCTCCCCTCATAATAATTGCTTTGGGACATCCATATAATAATGGATATAAAGACACCCTGTGGCCTGGGATGTAGAATAAAGAAAATTGGATTTTTGGCTTGCCTGTAAAAAAAAATGTTCTTGGAGTACATAACAGGATACAGGGATCCCACTCCTCTTTTGTGATTCCATGGCTTCCTTTAAAAACTGAAGCCTTGCCTAGCTGAGAGTGGTTATATACCTAGGAGGGTTTTTCCTGCCTTTTTTTAGTCATTAGCACATCACCTGAGGAAGGCAGCATTACCTGTGGTAATGGATATGAAAACCCCCTGTGTCCTGTGACATACTCCAGGAGAATGATTTTACAGGTAAACCAAAAATCCAATTTTCTCTGCTATAAAAAATATATGCAGAGTATTTTTTTATTTATGTAATATACTTGAGGTCCCATATGTTGGCTTTAAACATGCTTTGGATAAATGGCATCAAACATGCTTGTGACACCTAGATCTATAATGAATACAGGCAGCCTCAATGGACCACTCACACTTTTTTTTTTCTTTTCCCCTCTACCATTACTTTTCTATGTTAATATCTTCCTTTGTTAGAATGCCAAGAGGTTAAAAAAAAAAAAAAAAAAAAAGTTGAGTGAAATGTGGCATACCAAAATGTAAAAATTTGCCATGGTCACAAGTTTTTTCAGTTAACCTTTTACATGAAACTGTTAAAATCTTTTGATACGAGTAAGCCTGACCAGTGCTTATCTTCCCTGAGTCACTTTTCAGGGTACAGGTACTCTTTACTCTTTTAATTTAAATATTTATTTTCTGAATATAATACATATTTCATCAATATTCTCATACAAAAACCATTTCCAAATCATTAATTACATTTCTTACTATCTTTATTCCCATTACCTCCCCACCCCAATCTAATACCCCCTCCCACCTCAAAAAAAATCCACCCTCCCCCCTTATAAACCCACCCACTCTGCATTATTCTGTTACCTCTTTTCCTAGATAGAATATAGACTATATAAATAAATACTTCCATCTCTCACACTGCTATTTCATATATTTCACCATAAATTCTTCCCATTTTCTCCACTTCTTAGAAAATAGCCCCATTTTGTCTTCTTGCATCTCTTTAGAGATAAGTTAAGTGGTAAGCACATCACTTCTGAATGTTAACACATTGTCTTGTTTGTTCAGTTTTAACCAGTTGGATCTGCCAGCCTACGAGAGTTATGAGAAGCTACGTCACATGCTGCTTTTGGCCATTCAGGAGTGCTCTGAGGGGTTTGGCCTGGCCTAGGATTGCCCCGCTGTATAATGTTTTCTACTGTTGGACTTTAAAGAGAGGAAAAAAGCAAAACCAAGCCATGCATCTATCTTGCTCACCCTGCTGGCACCAAGAAGAGGGACTTGCCTTCTAAAGCTGCCGCCTGTCTCCGGTTCCCTTCCAATGGCGAACTGGCTGTGCTGAGACTTGAAATCACTGCTCTGGGAATGTAGAGAACGGAGAGGAGCAGGGGGGAAAATTATATATAAGTATATAAATATATATATTTTTCTGTTTTGCTTTTCTTCAGTTTTGCCTAAGGATGAGTTGACACGCTCAGCTCTTCAAAAAGTAAAAAAATAAAAAAATAAAAACCTCTGAACGCAGGGTAGAGAAGCTGGTGAAAATGGTAACGTAAATTCTGCAAATATGTGTGAAAAAAATAACACAAATGAACCTTTGGAAGAGGGAGAAAACTAGAGCACTCTCATTATGAAATAGCCACTATTCCCTACGCTATTTTTTCAGCTTCAAATAAAAATTCGGAGGTGTTTACCTGTAAATAAACCACTGAATGGAATTACCTGATCAATACAGTTTTATTTCTTCATGCCCCGATTCTGGTGGTGGTGGTTGGATGGATTTGGAGGAAGGTTTGAGAAGGCGAGTTGGATGAAAGGTGTAAGTGGTAGGATCAAACGAAAGCCTGGAAGAACACTGGGTTGAGAAGGGCTGACAGCCATTGTGGCCTTTAGACCTTGCAAAGACATTTCCCATCTTCTATTAGATCTGTTCTTTGTGAGAGAGTGAAGTGATGGGATACATGAGCTGCAGAGGGGCACATAAATTGCAGATCCAGGGGGGCAACGGGAGAGCAAAATGTAAACAAAAAACACAATCTAGCCAAGGTTTAATTTCCCCCCACCCCATATTTATTTTTTTTCTTTATCCCCATCCCTGTTCATTTTTTTGAGGTTTGGATTGCTAGGATTTTTTTTTTTTTTTTTTTATTTCTTTTAAAAATTGCAAAATTGAGAAGATAAAGAAAAAGACTTATCAGAAGAGTTTTTTGCTGCAAGTTTTGAAACACTGGGAGAGGTGTGGCTACCATGATTGTTAAGTTGTAGCTCGGGAGGGAGGTCGGGCGGGGGCTGTTTTGGTCGGACATGTTGTCATTCTGCCGGAAAAGTGTTTAATTTCGGCCTGGTTTTCCTAGCTCACTCCTCACATGCTGTGCACGGAATAATGCACTTGTGTCAACTCGACCGTTCAGGAGGATTGAAGAAAGTGGTTAAATAAAGGTTTAGTTTGAAAGCCAACAAGTCTTGCTGTCTTTGTGTGTGATTGAGTGCACCTTTGGTCTGTATGTTTTTGCAGCACTTTGGAACAAAGCTGCATAATATAAGGCCTCATGCACACTGGACGTTTTTGCTGTCTCTCCTAGGCTCTTCTCCTCCCTGCAGCCGTGTTTTAGCAGAAAAAAAAAAAGCTTGTAAACATGTAACGCGTGTAAAATTGTGTGACACACTTTGGCGTTAATTCATTTCATTGGCCAGAATAATAATTCTGGTCATTAAAATGAATCACCACTCCAGTGCTAAATACACCTAGCGTTAACATGCTTTTACACGCGTCAAGCAATTTTTTTTTTTTCCTGCCAAAATGTCGCTGTTCCTAGATACACGGACAGCGGGTTTGTTTTTTTTTCTGCCTCTAAATGCCGCTGCTCCCAAACTCCTGTATGTGCATAGACAAATAGGTGGACATGCAAGGGCATTTAGGGGCAGACGCCCCGAAGACCAGCAACAGAAAGGTCTACTATGCATGAGGCCTGATAGTTCCAAGCATCTTGTGTTGGATTTCCACTATAACTAAATTGGTTGTTTTAGAAACACAGGTTACCTTTTCCTTAAAATGATTTGTGAGTTAACACTCAAGCACTAAATGCGCCAAGAATAACATTTCATTCCGAACTTTACTTGGTTCAGTTCTGTGACTATTATGAGTGATTAGTGTGCTTTACTGAAATCTTTTTAGAATTGGTGCCAAGTGGAATGTTCAGCCTTTATTATAATCACTTTAACACCTTCTGGTCTAGTCCCTTCTCAGGCCTGTGACTGGACAGTGAAGAAGCAGCAGACTGTTTTGCTCTATCGGCATGCTCCTTGCATTGCAGCACAACTGATTAGCTCCTTATGGGCTGCTTCTCCTTCTGACAGTCTTAAGCACAGCTGTACAGGGACTGCAAAAAGCTGTTACCAAGCAAGATTCACGTACTTGAACTGCTTGAATTTTTTCTTTTTAATTACAATTTTATTTATAAAAGTACAAAACAGTAAAGTGTTACTAAACCCACAAAAGTAAAATCGGTCTGTATATGCAGTAAAGCATGCTTGTGATACTCACTGTGGAACCTAAGGGGTTAATCCTCTGCATTGTGTAAAAAGGCTATTTAATCCTGACTTCTGATCCTCCCCTTCTTCCAGTGCACACCTCTTATCTCCTGAGACATAGTTGTGGAGTCACTCTGCACATGCTCAGTTTTTGGTGTGTATTGCTAGAGAGGTTTGTGGGTTTTTTTTTTTTTTTTTTGCTTGGGAGAGTGCATGTGATCAGCACAGGGCCAATCAACACTGTCCAGACAGAGGTCAGGGGTTCTGCATCCTCCTAGAACAGAATGAAAACTCCTTCTAAGCAAGCTTTAACATGTGCTGTGCTGGACACTGATGGAAGTCACAGAACTGTTGTATACTGCTGATGATAAAAGGTAATTAGCAGTTTATATTTACTAAAATAATTGCATTTCCATGTTGTGTGCACTGTGGGAGACCAAATATAGTGAATGCAGGGTCCGGGGGGAGTGAATGCGGGGGTCCGGGGAGACCAGATATAGTGAATGCGGGGTCCGGGGAGACCAGATATAGTGAATGCGGGGTCCGGGGAGACCAGATATAGTGAATGCGGGGTCCCAGGGTTTAGTAACACTTTAAGGTGTGCAGTAGGCACCCTCAGCAAGGAGAAAGTAGACATGTGAAAACTGTTTCTCAGGACCCTGTGTGGTAAGGGGGGGGGCTGTGTCTTGGGTAGAGTTATACCCTATTTTTGCTTCAGTGTTAGACTGTGTGGTAATTGGTAAGATTCCATGTAGGCAAATAGAAACTTATGTTGGAGGTGCCATTATCAAAGCAAAGGTTAGATTGGGTATTGGTTGTGCAAACATTTTTCCTAATTAACATCAACCTAGTGTGTCCACTGAAAGGAAAGCATGCTTTAAATGTAAAGTGGTCTTAATCCAAAAATTTTAATATATTGCAGTTTATCAATCCTTAGATGTCGTGACTGCATTAGGGTTTTTTTTTTTTTTTTTTTGGGGGGGGGGTTTACTGGCAGAGGGTAGTATTCAATGCAGATTTAAACATACAATTTGAAGCTGAACCCCAGTTAATACTTTGAACTTGAGAGTAAAACCGTTTCTAGAACTGTTTAATGGCGGACACATCTCTTCTGATTCTTGACCATAGTATTTATAGCACCAACTACAGGAGTAGGACACTAGGCAAAAATATGAACACAGCACCACCTGTGGCCATTCCTAGCTGGTATAAACCCCCTCTCTGCTATAGGCAAGCCAGTTATTTCTGTATAGTGTTTCAGGAGTAAGGACCTAGTTCCCTCTAGGACCTATGGTTCCATAGCATTCTCCTTCCACCCCACCATTTTCCCTCCTCTTCTGCTACCTCTCAGTCCCTGGCACTTAGGCTGACTTTTCCTTGCATCCCTGGGTGGGAGGGTACCTTTCAGTTGTTGCAGTGGGTTCTACATGGAGGAGGTCTCCTCGGGGTGTTTGGGAGGCCATTGCAACTGCCACTGTGGTCGGTGATGTGGCAGCCATATTGGGCTGGGGAAGTGCATGTCGGCCATTTTCTTGTAGCCATGTGGGGGCATCTATTTTGCTGGTGATCCCAATTGACTTATATAATAGCTGGGGGAAGTGTGTGGTGGCCATTTTATTGTAGTCTTGTGCCCCTCTTAGGCTGGATACAGAGACAGTCCCTGGGACAGGAGGTCATACTTTCTTGGGCATGGTTGGCACAGCAGCATCCACAGCTAGCTCACTAACCACATCCACAGGCAGCATCCATGTTGGCACCCACAGCACTGCCCTGGTGGTCAGGTGGTGGTGAGTCCTCCCTGGGGTATCTCCTTCTCCCCTTTACCCTGGGTGTTCTGATTTTGACAGTTTCTTCTTGCCTGAGTGGGTGGGCCATGTGGAGTTTTAGGTGCACGCATCCCCTCCTGATCCCCTTGAGGTGATGGATGCTTCGAGGGTCCTCTGTCTCCCTAGACATGAGGTCGGTGATCTTAGGCTTATATCCTGGATGGAGACAGTGTTGAGGCTGAAGGCGAGCAGGAAGGACCCTTCATCGTCACCTGCATCTTCTGATGTTTTTGAGCCCAAATTTGGCTCCACCGCTGTGGGCTCTGTTTTCTGCAGTCCCTGAAGATGCCTCCCGATTCCTCAGACAGTGAGGTCAGGTCCCCTACCTCTGTAATCGCACAGGAGAAAGCACTGGTGACCTGATACTTTGTGCATGCGACACTTAAAATTGAGGTCACTGCTGGGGTGGCTGATGATGCAACAGTCCCCTTTGGTACGCACAAGCTGGCTAGGTCCGTTAGGGTTTTTCCTTACCCCACATACATTAATAAGTTTATTCACAAAGATTGGGTACGGCTGTAGCGTCCCTTTGCTGTTCCGAAGCATTTTGTGATATATTACCCCTTTGAGGTAGCCCTTCTGAAGAAGTGGACCTCGCCTTCAGTGATGGATCCCCCTATTCCAAGGTTGCATAAAGCAGCCATGATACTGGTGGAGTCTCCCACTTTTAAGGAACCTGCAGATTGCTGGGCAGAATTGGTGGCCTACTCTGGGGGAGTCAGTGTTCCAGCCTGTTTTGGCCACAGCCCTGGTTTCTCACACGCTCACTAAATGGGCAAAGGTTCTGCAGCAAGTTTTGTCCACTGGACAAGTG